TTTCTGAGTTGTTTGGAGAAAATTCAATTTTTCGCCAAATTTCATCAAAAAGTAAGGCTAACCCCTTGCAATTTTTTTCAATTTTGGCCGAAAAATGAAATTGCTTGAAACTTGCAGGGAAGATGCCTGAGGGTCCCTTGAGCAGATTCGATCTGCAATTTTGAACAGATTTGGCGTTTGAAGGAAAATTAGAGTCTATAATTTCGGTCAAAATTAGTGAAAATTATGAATAGTTTTCTCAATAAGTCGGTGATTTTTGCCCAAATCCTCAATGTGTTAACTGTTTGAAGGTCGATTGTTGTTTCTATAACATCCAAAGACATTTCTGAGTTGTTTGGAGAAAAGTCCATTTTTGGCCAAATTTCATCAAAAAGTAAGGCTAACCCCTTGCAATTTTTTCAATTTTGGCCGAAAAATGAAAACGCTTGAAACTTGCAGGGAAGATGCCTGAGGGTCCCTAGAGCACATTCGATGTGGAACTTTGAACAGATTTGGCGTTTGAAGGAAAATTAAAGTCTATAATTTCGGTCAAAATTAGTGAATATTATGAATATTTTCTCAATAAGTCAGTGATTTTTGCCCAAATCTTCAATATGTTAACTGTTTGAAGGTCGATTGTTGTTTCTATTACATCCAAAGACATTTCTGAGTTGTTTGGAGAAAAGTCAATTTTTGGCCAAATTTCATCAAAAAGTAAGGCTAACCCTTGCAATATTTTTCAATTTTGGCCGAAAAATGAAATTGCTTGAAACTTGCAGGGAAGATGCCTGAGGGTCCCTTGAGCAGATTCGATCTGGAATTTTGAACAGATTTGGCGTTTGAAGGAAAATTAGAGTCTATAATTTCGGTCAAAATTAGTGAAAATTATGAATATTTTTCTCAATAAGTCGGTGATTTTTGCCCAAATCTTCAATATGTTAACTGTTTGAAGGTCGATTGTTGTTTCTATTACATCCAAAGACATTTCTGAGTTGTTTGGAGAAAAGTCAATTTTTGGCCAAATTTCATCAAAAAGTAAGGCTAACCCCTTGCAATTTTTTCAAGTTTGGCCTAAAAATGAAATTGCTTGAAACTTGCAGGGAAGATGCCTGAGGGTCCCTAGAGCACATTCGAACTGGAATGAGGGACAGATTTGGCGTTTTAAGGAAAACTAGAGTCGATAAATTCGGCCAAAATTTGTGAAAATGATGAATATTTTTCTCAATAAGTCGGTGATTTTTGCCCAAATCTTTAATATGTTAACTGTTTGAAGGTCGATTGATGTTTCTATTACATGTACATCCAAAGACATTCCTGAGTTGTTCGGAGAAAAGTCCATTTTTGGCCAAATTTCATCAGAAAGTAAGGCTAACCCCTTGCAATTTTTTTCAATTTTGGCCGAAAAATGAAATCTCCTAAAACTTGCAGGGAAGATGACTGAGGGTCCCTTGAGCACATTCGAACTGGAATTTTGAACAGATTTGGCGTTTGAAGGAAAATAGAGTCTATAATTTCGGGCAAAATTAGTGAAAATTAGTAATATTTTTCTCAATAAGTCGGTGATTTTTGCCCACATTTTCAATATGTTAACTGTTTGAAGGTCGATTGTTGTTTCTATTACATCCAAAGACATTTCTGAGTTGTTTGGAGAAAAAACCGCAAGAGTAAATTTTTAGATTGAAGAAATTATCCAAAGAAGGAAAATATCTTTTCAAATTTATAGCTGATTTTTTTTTTCCAGACTCACCGAAATAAAACTGTCACATAAATACAGCTGTGTTGGTTAATTATCTTACAACCTTTATTTCTGTTAACGACAATGAAAGTGGCATGGAAACCACTTCAGATTAAAATAAATGAATTACCACCGCATGCATGTAGGCTATACCTCATTGGAACGACAACAGAATGAACAAACATTCTCTAAATACCTTTTTTTTGTGACCGGCTAAAGTTTGAGGTTTGTGCGGTTTTTTTCCTATTAAGAATTTCTTTCCTTTTTCAATACATTTTGCAAATGTCTGAGGAATGTTGAATCACATCATTTCTGAAACAACTACCAAAAGAGGGCCTTAAGCTGTCTTGGTGATAGAACAGAGTATACAACAAGGTAATGAATATTATCACAATGCCTAATGAACTTTCCGTGATCTGATTGGCAGGTCGTGATCACATGTCACTGAATTATTCATATCAACCCACAGCCCACCTGCACCACAAGTTAAAACAAAAACGACTTTATCATAAACATAAACATTAGTAGTATCCCTTTCAACTCTTCACATAAGCCCTTTACTGTCCCTTCAACAACTATTTAATACGAGGTACAAGAAATCTGTTAATTTACCAATACCCAGTACATACACATCTTTCATCAAATATAACATAAAAAAATATGCACTGAAGATACATGTACTAACAAAATTAAAGCTGATTTTTCAACCCACCCCCCTAAAAAATACCTGCACTAGTGTACCAACTAGGCCGTAAGTACTGCTCTAAAAAAAAAATTAACCTAAGTCCAAAGAGAAACTAAAGAACATCATCTTTCTGACATCATCGTAAACTCTGACTGTCCACATTTTCTTTGCACATTTACAATGCAACTTCTGTTATGCAGTTACTACTTCATGCACATGCAAAATAGTTTGGTTGTACATGTATTTGTACATGAATGTTCAAAATGCACATACAATTTATATATAATTGCTGCCCCTAGCTTTTAACGGCAGTGGCAGAAAAGCTACATCTTCACTTTTAAGATTAAGACTATATATTTTGGTTAAAGCTATCACTTGCTTCTGCACTTTGCATATTGTTAGATTACAAAATTATAACCTCTACATCATTATTTTCTAATACTACATCAATTTCACACATTTGTGCAAGAACTGTTCACAGTAGCGAAGACTACAAAAATAGTGTAATGGTATTTTGTCAGATAGAACGCTAGAAGCTGCTATCTGCTATTGCATCAACCACCTATACATCGAGATATTTCTATACTCCTTCTACTTTAATATGTGCACTATCTCCTTCCAACTGTTAATAATTCATCAACACTTTTATTATTTTTTTGTAACTTTCAATGGATATTCATAAATACGTAAGACAGTTTACCCATTCCTATTGGACGAGAGCCCATCACATGGGTGGTTTCAAACGGTTGGAAAAACACTGACTGGTTTTCCTTCACCGCTGCGTTCTGCGCCACATTGCGCAGTACGTGCTGCGTGCCCGCCAATCTCCATAAAAGGCGATTTTAGCGCGACTTGCGCGAGGCACATACCATAGACATGGCCAAAGGGGTGTTTAAATAAACACGAAGTAAAATTGTTGAAAAAAAAAAAAACATTGGAAATTGTGAATTTTGGATTTGTTTTTGACTTTTGACCGAATGGTATTTATGAATGGGAATATATATATGTGCCGAAGCGTCCAGGCCAAAACGTACTTGTTCAAAATCAGCCAAGCACATATTTATTCCATTATTAGAAACCAAGGTAAAGAAAATATCAATTCAGTTATTCAAAGGGGTTCAAAGATACCCTGGTGTTGAAATAGAGCCCAATAACAAGCCAACCGTGCCCCAACTAGAGAAGGTATAGGTTAGATCTCTAGATACTATAAATAAATACAAAATATATTACACTGTACATTACCACTGCCAATTAGTTCTCCACAAAGACCAGTACTTCACAAATTTAGTATTAACAATTCTAGGTTAAACATAGAGAATGAGATATGCAAAATAATAATAAACGTGGACAGAGATTTCAAAGGAAAGAATAAAGTATTATTACAACTCGTACATATTTTTCAGCGAAAGTATGGCTGGATATATATGAGTACATTTCGTCATGTTCCCGGCAGAAGGGCATATGCGCGTATTTCCGTATGCAATATCGTGTAATCACCAAAATGTTCCCAGCAAAAGGGCATATGCACAAAACTGCCTCTATTTTAAAGCCAGAGTCCATCATATGCAGTTATCCAAAAAGTAACTGGCGTTATTATTGTTGAAAAACAAACTTGGTTGAACGATAGTAAGGGGACTAAACTCCCTGTGAAATTATTCTTTCTGGCACGCTGTCATTTTGAAGAAATCAACAATGAAGGCCTTTTTAAAGGTGCTTCTTAAGACGCACCGTAGGAAATTCAAATTAGTAGTTTGTTTTGTTATTCGGCGAAGCGCGCGCAAACATTGGCACGACGCACACACGCGCCCGGTTGCTATAATTCGTCGGATCAGTGCGCGACATCGCGTAGCTGCAATTGGCTCAGTGAGAACCTGTCTCAGACGCTGAATTCAGGACCAATTCAAAACATGATTCAGCAACTTTTGATTTGAAATCGAGATCCTAGAATGTTGTTTTTCTCGAAATATACAGCTAAAGCTGAGCTGAAACTTCATCAGCTAAGTTGGTTTGGAAAAGGGATGGCACTATCCCATTCTGTGACACTTCTTCTCTGGTGACTTGTATGGCTTAGTATGGGTTGTAAGCATGACTGAGTCTTTGCCGGTTATGTCCGATTGAAATGTAGAGTGGGCGGACATAAGAGATTAAGTGACTATGATAGGTTGGGTAATCAAATGTGATTAAAGGTGCGAGCAGAGGATTATGTTCGCAAATCCTAAGTTGTTCAGCACCCTTCTTTAGATCTTGAGCACTTTTGTTGCTTCAAACGAACAAAATGCACAAATTCAAAATGATGGACCATACCTTTAGTGAAATTTTAATATTTTCCTCAGAAATTAATACAGGTTGTTGCAAAACTCATGACTGACACTTGTAACAAATTTCAAAATCGTACGATTAATAATACGCGTGGGAGAGCATTGGTATCATAATACCAGTGAGGGAACAGTAAAACCTTTCAATGCAATTTTCTTGAAAATATTTTTGCGTCAGAATGCTTATATGCCCTTCTGCATGCCGGGCACCTGACGATATGTAATTGAACATGTAATTGGTAGTTAGTTTTGGTTCCAAAAACTATGTGAGCATGTCTTACTTTAGTTTTTTTTTTAAGGAATACTTCCACAAAACATGTACAAATATGAGCTGAGTGCAATGAACAGTAACCATACTCCAAAACTCTAAAACCAAAAATAGCAAGAAAAGAAAGGAACCTTTCTTATGTCCGAACCTGAGAGGCAAAACAAACAACAATATGGATTCCAAAGGAGAACATTTGTGATGCAATCAAGCTGAATGAGTCATTTGTCAGGAATTTTCATTTGGAGATTCAGGCCAAAATAGGGCCGCTTCATCACATCACTTTATCACATCTCGATCTCTCGGTGTTCCGACTTCCATAATTTTTGAACTCAAGATGATGTCAGCATGCGGTTTACACAGCAGTTATGCTGAGATTGTGTTCTTTTCAAATCTGTTATAACAAAATTTTGGACCAGGGTCGACAAACGACTCGTTTAGCTTGCTCGCTTCACATATTATGGCAAAACAATGTAGATGCCAAAACCGTTGATACTGCAGAAAATCTTCAGCCGCCGTTGAGTAAGTGCACACAGTCCCGTCGGCATCTGATGCACTCGATACTTCTCACTACTTGAAAGTAAATGACAGTCGGATCATAAGTACAAAAAGCCCTTAAAGTCAGTAAGTGGAGTGTTAGTCAGCCTGCACCGTTAGGTTTGGAGTGGTTTTGAGAGGACTGTCAGCCTGTTAAACGAGAGAGAAAAAGCAACAAATACAAGACTGAGACACAAGGACCAAACAACATCATCCCACAGATACCAATGCTAGCGATTCTATTAAAGTTGCGTTCCCCACGCTATTTTTGAGTCATGACCAATGAAAATAGATTCCTTCTTCTTTAATCTTTATTTTTTTCTAGCAATGCAAACATTTACTTTTGAATGAGGCATCGACCGAAACTCCAATAAGAAAACTCTGATTAGGCCAAAAAAAAAACTATTTGGTCTCTGGTCCGACCAAAGTTCCGGAACGCGACAACGCGGCTTTTTTTTTTTCTTCAAGCTTGGATTGTACAGACAAGGTGGTGTACTATTTTGCTTTTTTGGTGTCCTCATGTACATTGGTGTCCTCCATAATTTGCCTTGGTGCTTTCGATTATTTGCCTTGGTGCAATTTCCCATTTCTTGGTGCACTTTGGTAAAAAAAAATTGAGGTGCGGCAATAGAGGGCGCTGTTGGAGCGACCGCGGAACATTTTGGAAAAAAAAGATTGACGCACATCATCATGCGGCGCATGATTAAAATTACACGGCGCTGACCAGAGACCGACTTTTTTTTTTGGCCTTAGCAACAGACATAACTCTTGCTAAAATTGAGAGCTCTGGAAATATACCCCTTTTACGTAGAGACGCTAAGAGAAAATAGGAAGTGTGGCAGGCGGGTTGTGAGGTACTTGGGTAATAAATCTTAGCGAATGGCTAGCGCCCTCTAGGGAACAATGCATGTGCAGCAATACTATATGAGTAAGAAGAGTGCAGTAGAATACTGGTTTTAAATACAACAAGTAGGAAGATTTGTCTCGGCTCACTGGAGGGTCAAACAAAAGTAACTGATTTTGATATGGTTTTGGCAGTCTCCAAAAAAAAAACACCACCATAGCAGTTGTTGTTAATCTACTCTCATTATAAAGAGCACTTTTATAAAGAGGTTCTACTTATAAAGAGCAAATTCTGAAGTCCCAAATCTCAGGTTCTCTTTGTGTTTCTTTGTTCCACTGTCCCTTTAAAACATCATTCCTGTTTATATAAAGAGGTAATTTGGCTAGTCCCATCGACCTTGTTATAACGAGAGTTGACTGCATCAGGAAGTCTTATGTGTATGACCATTTTTCCCAACAGAAACCATCGCATGTTCTATAAACACGTATATTATTGTATGCGTACAGAAAAATAACTTGAAAGCTCCAAATTATGTTTCATTTTCAAAATTCCATGCAGATAGTTGCAAATCGTTTAAAAAGGTTGTAAGTTACAAATTGGCAATTTTTTTCAGGAACCACAACTTCAATGTCTGCAAGTACCACAACTTGAACAATGATCTGCATGCATAAAATGTGTAAATGTAGGAAAAAACATGTTAATGGTCTAAGTTTGTTTTCAGATTCCAAGTGAACATGGATGCTTTTTTAGATTCTTCATGTATTTGGCAACAAAATCATCAGCAAATAAAGCAGGTGACATGCCTGAAAAACGATCAAATAAATAGCTCACAAAAAAATAATCAGTCAACGTTGGGTTGTGATAACCAGCTCATGCAATCATGCAGTGCTTTCCATTCAAATTTTGGGGCCGTATCATAAGTCCGACGCCTCATAGGTCCGACGCCTCATAAGTCCGAAATTTCGGACTTATGAAACGTCGGACTTATGAGGCTTACAATTTATTTATTCCGCCTCATAGATCCGACGCCTCATAAGTCCGACAACAGAAAAACGAGGCGTTTAATTTGTCGGACTTAAGAGGCGTCGGACCTATGAGGCGTCGGACCTATGAGGCGTCGGACTTATGAGGCGTCGGACCTATGAGGCATCGGACTTATGGGCCTTTATTTGTTTAGGGGATGCGATTTTGTCGGACTTATGAGGCGTCAGACCTATGAGGCGTCGGACCTATGAGGCGTCTGACCTATGAGGCGTCGGACTTATGAGCGGACCCCCAAGTTTTGATAGTGCTTAGAAATGTGACATGCAAATGGATTAGGACATGCAGTGACCATCGTGTTAGAAAACCGAAAATTAAGTAGATGAACAAAAAATGACAAAGACAACATGACAAGAAGGAACGTTAACATGCAAAATGCAAATACAAAATGGAAGTATTTGGTTAGTGACACACTGAAAGGGTTGATAGTGCATGCGGTTTGACTTTATTTAGTAAATTTCATTCAAAATTGAATGTGGATTAGTACAGTCAAAATTATGACTTATTCTATAAATTTAGGGTCCAAAGTGTGACATTTTTCCTGTCTCTGTTACCTTGGTACTTTTTAATTGAAGCCATTCAAGTATCAATAAGAATGACTTCAACATTTTTTTTATTTGCTGAGAACCAACTGGTTCTTCTCAGAACCATGCAACTCACTAAGAGATATCTTTCATTCACTTGGTGTTACCACAAACTCCCATTCATTGGGTAGGTAGTTTGCTATTCATAATCACTCTTGGAGGACGACTGCACGAAGAAGTGCATCAGGGCAATTCCACGGTTACTCACGTTAGGAAAATAAAACGTGAGTAACCGATTTTGTGCGTCCTGTTTATCATACATAACACATTTTTCTGGATGTCATCTTTGGTGCTTAGGTAGGTCTAGGTCTACTCTATCTACCATGGGGATAACAGTTATTAAACCTTTTCAGTAAGGTAGTTACAGCCCAAGGAAACTCGAAAGTACATCAAAAATGTAACGCTAGTAACCGTGGAATTGCCCATCAGAATTATATCATAGATGTCAGATGTAACAAAGACAGTAAAAAACAGTCAACCCCAAATTTATAGAATTACCCAAATCAAAAATCAAATCAAAGTCATGAACTCAATGCTCATCTTATATTTTTCAGTATTTTTTTCTAAAATTGTAAATGCAAGTTTGTCTTTTTCAATTAAAAATAGGGAATACAAGAACAAAAATAAAAACTTTTGAAAATATAAATCTGCAATATGAATGCAAAATAATAAAAAAAGTAATATGAACAATTTCAAAAACGGGAATTAAACATGAACTACTGAAAAGCAAAACAAATTTGAAAAAGAGGATTAAATAATATTTAAAATCCAATGTCAAATCTTAAAAAAGAAAGAATTTGAATACGGAAATAAAAACAACACCCAAAACAGAAATAAAGAAACTTAAATTTTGTATAGACTTGAATGCCTGAAATGAAATAAAAAATATTCTGAAAAGCTTCTTTTTTTGGGTCAATTGTATGTAAACTTACCTGTATTTCCTGCAGTGCCTGCTTGGCGAGGTATGCCTCTCTCTTGATCTTGATCTCCAAACTCTCTGGAATGTCTGGGACGGCAAAGTCAATGAAGCGACCGATTCCAAAGACAAAATGCTGCAAGACAAGAAACAAAAGACACGTAAAACCATCCTTGAGCATTGCTCTACTGAATGAATTCAGCCACTGATCTTAAGGCTGTCTTTATCCCTGGGTCTGAGGTAGTGTTGTGCAAACCCGACCCGTAACCGAAACTGACCCGACTTGAAACAGACTTCGGATCTGGTCGGGTCGGTTTGTCCATCATTATAGTCGGGCCGGGTCACTTTCGGTTTTGCATTTGTGATTTTCAGGTCAGGTCGGGTTGGGTCGGGTCGCTTTAGCCATTTTGGAAAAACCTGGGAAAAAATACGAAACTGTTCAGAAAAATTCAAATGAAAAAAAGTAAGACTGCTGCAAACTGCTTACTGACTGGATTGACCTGAAATATATAAATCTAAAAATTAATGTGGCCTGACGTTGCGAACTTAGCAAGTTCTTCTTCAGAGGCTAAAACAGAAACATTTCTGTTTTAGCCTCTGAAGAAGAACTTGCTAAGTTCGCAACGTCAGGCCACATTAATTTTTAGATTTAAAAATTCAAATGGTGCAATTTGTATTGCAGAGTCACTGTGCCCGGTACGACCAAATGTGGTTTGTGGTCTATCACACACGGTCTATAACATGCAGGCCCAGTAGGTCACATTGTGAGTACCGTACGGCATGATGCAGTTACTGAGAGATGATGATTTTCACGTGACGCGGGTAAGTTCAGGCACACAAAGCGGATACAGTTGCCCAAGCCAGATAATCGTCTATTTTCAGGTCGGTTCGGTTTTGGGTTGGTTCGGGTCGGTTCTCCTTGAATTTTTGTCCGGTCGGGTCTGGCCGGTTTAAGGAAGTTCAGATTGGTTTTGGTTTGGATTCCATTTATATCTATAATGTTTCGGCTCGGTGCAGCCTGGTCAACCCGACCCGATGCACCACACTAGTCTGAAGTACACACGCACACACACAGACAGCATTCAGTTCCATTATTGCAATCCAACCTGATGGCTGTGCCGTGTGAAATGAACGAGTACCTCAAATATGATGACAAAGGCGAGTTTGACAGCCAGCAGTTGATAGTAGAATATGGTGTGGTTGCCCTCCGGGTCACGGAAGTCCTTGTATCTGCAAGGAAGGTCAATTTGTGATAAACCATTACAACAATATTCTCAAAAAAATTTCATGAGGGACTTCAGGCACCAAAGGACGGAAGAATTTCATTCTAGAGTCCCACTTGACCCAAACTTAAAGCAACTCGTGTACAATAAAACTTGGTTTCAGACAAATGAATATCACAAGCTAATTTCCATTACTTGTAGTTGTTCCTAATTCTTTCAAACATCAAACTTAGTTTGAATTTTGTCAATAATTTAGATTTATAAGGCTCTGGAACGCCAGTCTGTGTGACCTACATCAGGAATCCCAGCACTTTATGAAAACAACATTCCCTGAGTAATACTGAGCTGAGCTTTCCAGAGACCTCGTATATATATCCATGTTGGTTGGTTGAGATTGATGACTGAACTTTACGGTGAAATGGAACACACACACACCCGCACAGTCGTGTTTTACTATACACCTGAGGACAACCTATTGTGTTTCCCTTTGTCCCTCTAATATAACACTTTCCCATAGACTAAGCACATAACCGTACGATCGAGGACCGGTTTTAACAATAGGCACCGTCGTCCGAGGGTCAAAGGCCCCTTTGTGCTCCTTTTGTTGTCTGTCCTCGAGCGTAATACAATACAAGAGCACCCACACAAACGTGTGTTCACTGTCCATCGTGGACGTCCCATTGTCCCTCTTTTGTTTGTACACTCCCATAGGTTTTGTACACGACCCCAATCGCGGACACATGCTGGGAATCGTGGACGATATTGTTCTCTTTTGTTCTCTGGTATTTTTCGTCCATGGTTTGAAAAGATGAACACGCACACGCAGACTCACAGAAGGAATATGCGATTGCAATATCCCCCTGTCTGGCTGGAAAGCCAGGGGGATAAGAGGGGCTGGGAAGACATACATACCTGCACGGCTCGTTGGTGGATCCGTTTGGGGCATGTGCCAGAGTGAAGTTGATATATCCATGCATATCAGAGCTGTACTGGTACTGGTACATCAGCCGTGGTAGAAGCTCCGAGGTGAAGGCGATCAAGAACGCCTGTAAGAACCAGAGGAATCGGGTATCAAGAACTGGGGATCAGGACAAAGCCAAACATCTGCAAGGATCTTCCCCTAAAGGCCAGTACATACTTCATGCTAATGTCGGCGCGAAGCGTTTCTTGACAGAGAATGTTAGGCCTAACGTACCTGAATCCATCAAACTCCACACCCCTGTTTCGGAGGATTTCGGCGGATTCAGGATACCTCCATATTGAAAAAGTTGGGGGATTTTGATGGATTCAGGACATGAAGCCTAGCAGTACTGCACGATTTTGATGGATTCAGGATGCCTCCATAATGAGCAGTTGGGGGACTTTGATGGATTCAGGATCTCAACAGATTTACTCCCAGCTAACTGGTGGATTCTGATAGACTCACTGGCCACCAACATTTTTTTGCATGGGAAAATTGATGGATTTTGGCAGATTCAGGATTCTTTCGAGTAAAAATACCCAAGGGGTTAGGGTTAATGGAGTTATATAGTCAGGCAGATTGGTGCACAATATGATGGAATTGTTCATTTGATGATTAAAGCACGAAATATGGCACACAGTCAGAGTATGTCATGGAAAAGATATTATGCTATAGGGCCATCGCAGATTTGTCCTTTGAAAAAAAATATCATGGAATAACATGCAATGGCCGCCATATTGAAAATTTTGAAAATTTCTTGTTATCCTATGATATTTTTTTTCAAAGGAGAAATCTGTGATGGCCCTTCAGTTTAGGCCAAATTTCATGCTCTTATCATCAAACTGAACAATCTTATCACCAATCTGCTGCACTATTAAGGTAACAGAGAACATCACAATGAAACTTCAACTGCTGACGTGATGAAATGTGACCGGCTCCACAAAAAAGGGTAATAAGTCGCGCTGTGTAATGGCCTGCTCAACATTGAGAGGGTGAAAATTGTGTCAAAATGTGAATTTCATTATTTGGTCACGAATGACATCTTTAATACCTACAGTTTCAGGTTCCATTCACAGATTTTGATGAATAAAGTGGACAAAACAACCATTTTGTGTTAGTCGTTATGTTGTTCTACAACAAAGCCAGCTATTTCAAAGCCTGTTTTCTCAGTTGTGTAATTTGAACTCCAAGGAAGTAATTAATATGCAAATACGTCATACCTCCAGAATGGGAGGGGCTATGGAGCTCTATTATATACCAAATGAAAGCTTACATTGTGGGCTTTTCAAGCATGTATATAACTCAATTTTACTTTTTTGCGACATTTTTTGTGGAACCGGTCACAAATTTGCTTTACTTTGGCTTTCGCATGAATGCACGAACGAGACGTAAGCCTGCTAGATCCTTCAGCACGAATGGAAGGTATGGGAAGATTTGTAACAGGAGACTTCAGAAAAGAGGAGGTTGGTTACTATTTCTTTGCATGAGGCTTATGTCCTAGAAAGTGAAAGAAGAAATCATTTGCAAGTTTGCCATGACCCTTAGACGTTCCGCGTCCAATTTGTATATCACGTACTTGGACAATATTTCACAAGCTGCGTTGACGCGATTCTAACGTGAATCTACCGCGATAGGTTAACTATTTTTCATCATGCAGTCTTGTGACTGGATTTGACCACAACACCGCCGATAAGACTGAACGCCGCACTTACATTGCTCATGACGGCCAGATTGGCGATGAACTCCAGGATGTCGTACCAGATGCCAATGTCCTGGGCCCGGTCGGCCACGGAGCGGCGCACCTCGCTGACGTACTTGGAGCCATCCAGGCGGATCTCGATCCAGTTGTTGAGCAGGGCAAAGAGCGGGGCCAGGGGGAAGGCTGCCACGAAGACCGTGATGAAGCCAAACTGGATGACTGGACGGGAGGAAAGTACACATGATCTGACAACATAATCTGGACACTGCATCACTAGATAAGCTCAATTGAGGACCACTAGCTACTGACTAGTGGATGATTTGTGAGATATGTTGCGATTGTGGCCTGGGCCCAGTTTCATAGAGATGCTTAACAGTTAGAAGACAGTTGTGCTTATTACAGCAGAAAATCATGCTGCTGCTTAAGCACTATTTCATGGCATGGTTGTGCTAATGATTGCGCACGCATGGAGATTTCTTTTGTTACCGCACCGATTTAAGCAACTTTTTCTTCCGGGGTTAAGCGTGCTTTTGTTGTGCTATCAGTCTCTATGAAATAGATGGAGGCTCGGTAATGCACAAAATTGGTTGTTAAGCAACGCTATGAAATTGGGCCCTGATATTTACACTTACATGAAAACATTTCTAATTAACCAATGGTCAAACATCCATCACAAAGGAACTAACTAGAAACTTTAGTTTATTATTATTTTATTATTACTGAAAGCAAGGAATCCTCAATAGCACCCTAGGCACTGTAGCCTGATGAAACCTGTGGAGAGAAGACAATGAGAAAATTACACTTTTAGAGATGGGAGGAAAACCCTAGAAAAATATTCTGGGGAAAACCCAAGGAATCAGGCAGGGACTGAAAACCCAATCCACATGTGGGCCAGGACAGGAATCAAACCCGGGTCACAGCAGTGGAAGGCGGGGAGAAGAAACCACTGCGGCAGCCTGAATCCCCTAATTAACTCAGGGTCCATGCTGCTACAAAAGCAACATCGACAGAAACAGCAAAATTAAGTCTTTTACCCATTTCCAGATATTCCTCAAACAGTCCCTCGTTGGGCACCAGCTGGTAGTCTGCCTCCCATCGTTTACACTCGCGGTCGCCAAGCGAACCTCGCAACTTGTAACGCAGCCAGCACTGCTTCAGTTTGCTGTAAAGAAGAAGGCAGCAAAGATTTTGAGCTTTACCTGCATCGAACTTTATATGTTTTGTTCATGATATTTTTTTTTATTCTAGAAAAATTGTTGGAATTTTTAAATCTTCAGATTTGATTTTAATTTTGGGATTTTGGACATGCAGGATTTTTTTTTTCAATATTGGACTTTTGGGATTTTGGACATGCAGGATTTTTTTTTTCAATATTGGACTTTTTTAAATCTTGGGAATTTTTAATGTTGGGAATTTATCAAACTTGGGAGTTTTTAAATCTGGTGATTTTTTTTAATCTTGGGATTTTAATCAATCTTTGGATTATTAAATCTTTCGAATCAGTAAATTTAGGAAAAAATCTTGCGTTTTTATCGATCTTGGAAATTTTTCAATCTCCAAAATTTTTCAATTTTTGGAATTTCAGTAATTCTTTGGATTTCCTAATTCTTGGATTTTTTTTTTAACCATGGAAATTAAAAAAATCTTAGAATTGTTAATTGGTGGAAGTTTTCAATCCGGGGATTTTTTTGAAAATCTACAGATTTTTCAACCTTGACAGTTTGTCGATCTTGGGAATTTTTCCTAACCTTTGGATTTTTCCTAATCTTTGGAATTTTCCTGATCTTGGGAATTTTTCTAATCTTGGGAATTTTTCTAATCTTGGGATTTTTTCTAATCTTCGGATTTTTTCTAATCTTGGGATTTTTTCTAATATTGGGATTTTTTCTAATATTTGAAATTTTACTAAATCTTTGAAATTTTTGAATCTCAAAATGTTTGGATCGTGGGATCAGACACATCAGCAGATAATTCTATGCTTAGCAGAAACACGATATTTTGGGCTCTGATTTTACTTTGAGTGAACGTCTTTTCTACTTACGGAATGGCAACTTCTTGGCAGTTATTGATGATCTGTTTACCGACCATGATGACCAGCAGCTGTTGAGCCAGCTCCACCAGGCAGCCTCCATTGCTGCAGGCCTCGTTACGCAGACCAAAGATCGTGCTATAATTGCCTGGGTAGCCCACAAACCTTGGCAAGACAAAAGAACATATATTTTAACAAATATTTTTTTTGTTCATGGAGTTAAGGAATATAGGGACGCCTGTAGCTACGATTTGAATTAAAAATTAAGATACATGTACTGTAGCAACGAAAACATAATATTGAAGCTTAAACCTCCAGACGCATACATACATGTATGCCAAGATAGGCAGGACAATTACTACATAACCTACTGCATGCATTTACCTCTCCTACTGGTACAAACAGTTTGATAGTGCAAGATTTGACAATTTTTTCATCAGCCTTGATACGTTTGCAGATACACGCTGACATGAACTTGTTGGTAAAAGCAAGCAAGAGTTGCCTTGGTAGTTTTAATGTTGGTTCGTTTTTACATGTCAGATACATGAATACCAGCAATGAAACTTGTTTGTTTGTTGTGAAACTTGTTGGGGTGTTGTGAAACTTGTTTGTTTGTTGTGAAACTTGTTGGGGTGTTGTGAAACTTGTTGTTTGTTGTGAAACTTGTTTGTTTGTTGTGAAACTTGTTTGTTTGTTGTGAAACTTGTTGGGGTGTTGTGAAACTTGTTTGTTCGTTGTGAAACTTGTTTGTTCGTTGTGAAACTTGTTTGTTCGTTGTGAAACTTGTTTGTTTGTTGTGAAACTTGTTTGCTTGTTGTGAAACTTGTTTGTTTGTTGTGAAACTTGTTTGTTCATTGTGAAACTTGTTTGTTTGTTGTGAAACTTGTTTGTTTGTTGTAAAACTTGTTTGTTTGTTGTGAAACTTGTTGGGGTGTTGTGAAACTTGTTTGTTTGTTGCATTAACAAAAGGTCCTTATCCTTGGTCATCATGGTCATGAGGCAAGTTTACATGCAGTGTGAAAATGAGGATCTACATATATGCACAGAACCAAAAGCAAACCACATCAATAGTTCTCTAGGCTTCACAAACTTAAACAAAATACCTGTAACTACAAAGTTATTCTTCCTTTACGGGTTACTATTTGCTGAACTACATTTTAGTAATTGCTGTAAAATGTCCAGCTCAAGAACATAAATGGCACTATGTGGTTACATGTAACTTAGCTACAATATCTGGGACAATGTGTCCAGGTAAACTCACACTCCAAGCACTGTGAGTTGAAGTGAAAACCAGTTTTACATCACCGTTGTGAATTTGCAAAAGTTGAACACATGTCGAACTCGGGCAAAAATTTTGCTGGTTTTTATGTATGTTTGGTGATGTAAAATTCACTTCGAATTCTAAACTAACGTAAGTCTGGTATTCCAGCAACTGCACCATGCAATTTGGGCGATTCACAATGTAGTGCGCCACCAAGAGTTTGCAACGGAGAGTTCATTTTCCCCAGTGCATTGTGGGAGACGGTCGACAAATCCGCAGCGCGGGACATTTGAAATCGTTAGTTTTTTTTTCCGGTCAGTAGTTTTGTAAGCGTATGGTTCGAGTATATGTTTGCCTTTTTCTTTTCTTTTTATCGATATGGTGTTTTTTGTAAGGCGGCAAAATGTTACACCTCAATCTATAACAAATTAGCTCAAGTTGTCTACTGACACTCTTTCAAATGGGCCATGTTTTGTCAACTGTAAACTTGAAAAATGGACTCTCCATGGCAAACTCTTTGTGGCGCACTGCATTGTGAATCGCCCGAATTCTCCACATATTATGCAAACAGATCGAACGCAACATAAATTTTACTTTCAGATATTGATGATGAACCACATGGAGATACTTGACTGAGACTACACATACACGTAGGTACCAGCAAAAAGAAAGTTATTTATGGAAAGCAACATATTTAAGGGTACTTTAAATGAAAACAACATAAATTCCATCTGAATATACGTAACTGAATGTATATTTTATCAATGGACTGAAATTACATACCAGCAAAAATAAATACATGTCTTGATGCAACATAAATAACATAAAAAAAAGAAGGATGCTGCTATACAAATGAATATGAACATAAATATGGATGTAAAACATTATTATTACAAGAATTGCCAATGGTTTGTGTTGATAAAAATTTGTATGGCATTTCATCAGACAACTTTGAAACAGGTTATATACATTTAAGATCAAACCAAGTTTGAAACATGAGGACCTTTCATTATGGTGGAAATTAACTGCATAAAAAGAGGTTTGGTTTTATTTTGTTATCAAAGGTATGAGTAAAAACAACAACTGTCCCTTTTTTTCACTGATGTGTGGTTCTCCATGCAAGTCTGATACTTCAGTTTGTGTGGGACAAATGTGCGGCATTTTGGCAAAATGAAACCGAACAGGGCACAGGCGTTCATGGAGAAAAATGCAAAAACCAAATGGGGGTGATTTTTTTTTTTTTCAGATTTATTGATATTGTTATTCTTTGAAATGTGTACTACACTTGTTTTAAAGAAATAGTATAACAATCGTGGAATAAAAGACTCTTTTATGGAAAAAAGGGCATCTTTCATTTTCTACAGACTACAGAACTCGCAACTTTAAGGCCTTTTTCTCAGTATTTTAGTTCATTTTTTGAAATGCGGATTAAGGTGAAATTTAAACAGCCATAACTTGTCAATGGAATGTACGATTAAATTGCACCACACAGTATTGTAAGGAAAATTTCACTCTCTTTCCTAAAACATGCATCCGCAAACCCTCATTTCGACCTCTGCCTACAATGTAGTTGTGTCTCATTTTGCCAGAATTTTGCAAATGCATTAATGCTATAGTCCATCATTTGCAGCTATCCAAAAAGTAACTGACGTAATTATTGTTGAAAAACATACTTGGTTGAAAGACAGTAAGGGGACTAAACTCCCTGTGAAATTATTCTTTCTGGCATGCTATCATTTTTTAAATCAACGAAAGAAGGCCTTTCCAAAGATGCGTCTAAAGACGCATCGTTGGAAATTTCCATTAGTAGTTCGTTTTTTTATTCGGAGAAATGCGAGAAAGTGTTGAAATGACGCACACGCGCGCGGGGTTGCTATAATTTGTCGGATCAGTGTGCCACATCACGTAGCTGCAATCGGCTCAGTGAGAACTTGTCTAGGACGCTGAATTCAGGCCCAATTCAAAACATGATTCAGCAACTTTTGATTTGAAATCGAGATCCTAAAATGTTGTTTTTCTCGAAATATACAGCTGTAGCTGAGCTGTAACTTCATTAGGTTAGTTGTTCAGCACCCTTCTTTAGATTTTGAGCACTTCTGTTGCTTAACAAAATGCACAAATTACAAATGATGGACTGTACCTTTAAGCCTTCAACACAAATGGACAAATGGCACGATGAATATGCGCGACAGATGACTCCATATGTGCATGCAGACACATGCACGATGCATGCGTAAAAAATTGATATCGAGTACTCACTTCCCAGAGACAGAGTGCAATAAGAAGAAATGACCAGGCTATAAAAAGACAGGAAAAGAGAGAAGAGTACCAGGCTAAGATCTACAGGAAAGAACAGAAGAATCCTGGAAGAAAACCCAGAAACTAGAGGCCAGCTGTAAAGGAGTTGAACAAATTCAAAAAGAAGTATATCACAAAAATTAGAGTCAAAAGTGACAATACAAATGTTAAATAATAACCTCTGAATTCAGGGCAAAAATGTTAGTGCAAAAAATGGTTTATGAATTCATAATCTCTTTCGGCCAAAAACAAAAGTCTCCGGTTGCTGGTATGGAGCTTGCCCAAAAAGAGGTGCGGCGACGCGGCTTTTTTTTTTGGGGGGGGGGGACTGTTTTTTTTTTGCTTCAAATGTCGGCTGATGACTGCAAATGGTGCCCGACTAAAATTAGTGCAAATATATGGGAATCCAGAGAGACCACATAAAGCTTATTCTCGATCATAACCTCAAAAACACGTTAAAATTGTGCAGCAGCAGGATTTCAGTCAAACCAGTGAGTTTGGTGGTTCAAGACATCGTTTTTCATTGAAAAAAAAATGTTCATTTTGCCGATGAGCATGGCTACAGTGACGCACACTCATACCAGAAACCAGAGACTTTTTTTTTTGGCCTAAGCATGTTATGGTGTTTTTTACAAAAACTCAGAATAAACTGTTGCGACTATAAATTCCACGGAACAGAAATGTGTTGTCTTCCATTCCGGTACTGTTCTGAAATGACAAACTCCAAAATCTCCGTGCATACATTGCATGTTAATTCTTTTTGGCGAGGGTATTCAAGAAGTCAAATTTCCCGCAACACGCATGAAAAATTTGGACAAGGTTAAGTTAAAAAAAGTTAGGTCACCTCTTAATATTTCCAATGTGAGAAAAACTAACCAAAAACCCGCAAAAAGCTCACTGTAAATAAATGAGTGCGCATCTGTTGTCACAAAGTGTTTAATGATCAAAAGCTGCCCATGAAAATTAGCACAACTCTTTACATTTCATAAGGATGCTATTGTCAATTTAAAAACAAAACAACCTGGAATTTTGATGAAAGGTTTGAAAGATGCATTTCTGTCTATGCTGATGTCTTTCTCTCAGATTCAAAAAGTCTGATTTCAGACTAAAACCTGAAAAACATTTCGTGCCTGATTTTAAACAATCAAATTCTGTCTGCCACCGTAACTTCTTGTCTTGATTCAACGGCAGCAACACAGTGAAGTAAGCCTGGTTCGATGCATGGGTTAGTCAAGAGATAGACGTGTACTTGGGTATTAAAAACAAAAAAGTTTATTTTTATATGAATGACGGTACTTACTTGCCCTTGAAGAAGGCGATGTAGAAGATGGAAGAGAAGAAGTTCATGAACTGGAAGACGAAGACCTTGAAGGTCAGGTTGTCCTCGTACTCCGTCTGGGTGCGATGCATCTCTGTCATAAGAACCAACAAGAAAATGCCAAGAACGGATGAAGACAATTCAACAAGGAGCTTATAAATGTGAAGCCAAAAAATGCGACGCTGATGGCACATATGGAACACCATACTTGTGGTCAATTTTCAGAACAGACAGACAGACAGACCAACCACCAAGTGACATGTAGAAGCTCCTGCCAGAGCTTAAAAAATAATGGGGGGAGTGACATCCACCCAGACCCCTCCTCTAGCGACACCTGTGGTGGTTCATATGTTGACTGAGGCTCTGAATACCCCCCCCCCCCCCAACTATAAGGAGTATAGTATCGGGCAGGGCGCTTTGGGGCGGTACAGGGACCAGTGGGCTAAAACAGTTGATGCACATACCCCAGTCATTCAGGATTCCGGCCAGTGTTTGGTAGACCTGGCCCAACACCATGATGAGAACCAAGTTGACCACGGCGCTGGACATGCTGGCGATGCTCTGAGACTCGTTCCGCAGCAAGGCATTCTGGGACAGGGGTATATCGATCAGGACCCGGTACATGATCACTCCCACCATGAAGATCAGCACCAACACAACCTAACAAAGGGAAATCAATCATTCAATGTTAAAGGGAATGTACAACATCTGCTTCAGCTGCAGTTTTCATAAATAAATGAATTTTGAGGATAAGTATGTTATAGCAAATATTGTTCAACTGACTTGTTTCACGTTTTGGGCTTGTAGATGATGGAAAAACATAGAAAACCAATCATGTTCTTGTAGTCTGGTTCCCTGACCCCACTTAAGATGACACAGAGCAATTTGTAGACTTTGGGGAATTGTAAGGTCAAAGAATCAGTCTAGCAGGCTTGTACCCCTTCACAGGTGTGTAATCAATAGCAAAGAAAATGCGGAATAGCTAAATATGAAAAACTAGGAGTAGTTTTTGAAAAAAAAGCCAGTTTTTTCCAACGCGACCGGCGTTGGAAAAATACAGTTTTTCTTGAAAATGTCAGCACATCAGGAGCCACAATTTTACAGGATGCTTTAGACTGTCATTCCCTAACAATTCAGTAAGGTATTTCGTGATAACTTGATCATTTCGTTATTTGATGTTTGCAAATGTTGTATCTTCCCTTTAATGCTTCAACAAAATTCCTTCCATAGATAGAGCTACACTTAGGAAAGCTTGTCCATGAGAAAAGCCTATATGCCAGAAACTGAAGCCCACCATCAGCAAATGACACATTGTTCTCGGAAGCTATCAGCCTATTATGTAGTCAACCTTTTTTGCACTCGCATAGTGCATTTACAGCGTGTAAGTCAAATTTCATTTCTGCGAAGACACGCACATCAATTCAGCATCTCTCAAAACCTCAAAATCACTTCAAAGTATTCTACGCAAAGAAACGCAAACTTTAACAGCATTTTAAGACAGCTGCTTATATAAAATGTTAAATACAAGGATCAGTCCGCAATGTTCACTGTAAAACAAACCTAAGAGGGTATTTGTGACCTGTTCTGTCAAAAGCAGACGCTTCTGGGCAGAGGTTGAAATTGAGATAGGGCCAAAAAACGCTGTGGGGGTGATTTTTTTCCATTTTCTAATTTTTACATATTTGTAATCCTGAGCATGTCTAAAATATACTATAAAAGTTTGAAACCCTAATTTGATCTCTAATTACAGTATTTTTGATGATTTGTTGAGGTATATATATCAGTTAAAGAAATGTCTGTTTTGTGACGTTCGTGTCCATTTTCTCTGTTTTCTACTTTTCGACCCAATGAACTTCAAAATAGCATAACTCTGCCCAGGAATGACCGGTTTCAAAAATTAAACCACCTATTAAAAGGAAATAGAACATATTTTAACAATATGCAAAAATCTCATTTTTGACCTTATGCCCAGAAAAGTCTGATTTTGACAGAACAGGTCACATTTGTGATGCGATCAAGCTAAATGAGTCGTTTGTCGGGAATTTTTATGTGGAGATACAGGCCAAAATTGAACCACTTCATCACATCACTTCATCACAACTCTTCAAGGTGTTCCGACTTCCATAATTTTTTAACTAAAGATGGTATCAGCATGCGGTTTTCACAGCAGTAATGCTGAGATTGTGCTCTTTTGAAATCTGTAATAATTTTTTTTTTGACCAGGGTCGACAAACGACTCATGTAGCTTGATCACATCACATTTATTTAAGGGAGGAGGATATTTCAGGCTCCTTTTCTATAAAACTGATTTTAGTCCAGTACCACAAATTGAAACCACATGACACTTTGCATATTTATTACAAACACAGCGAATAAACCAAAAAGGTCCATTAATGTGTATTGGCTAGATGTTTTTAGTTTTTTAGTATAGTTTTTTTTTTTTTTTTTATATAAAAAAATAGTGTCTAATAATATCCGATTGTTTGCACTGGTAATTTGGCTAGGCCGTGCTTCATTTTTTTTTTGGGGGGGGGGTATTTTAATCTATGTTGTGCAATATATCCTTTTCTGTCCTCTCTAATTTAATGTTTTATATACAATAAACATATACTACATTTATATAGATATTTTAAATTACTATTAATGTTTTACGTGTCCTTTGCCAGCATAAGGGCTGGCAAGTCTAAGGACTATATACAGTGATTTTCTTCGCTTTTGTCAGCCCTTGCCCATGCAGGCTTAGGTTTAATTTGTCCTGTTATTTTGTCTTTCTTGTATTATCTGTTTTCCTTCCAAGTTGATTTTTTTTTGGACTTTTACTGTACTGTATTTTTCTACTGTTGTTATATATTTTGTGTTGTTTTTATCAATTGGCAAAATAAAAATGAATGAATGTTCAGGGGTAATGACCGCCATTATCCTGCTCGTTTTTTTCTGCGTTGGAAGTACGTACCATTCCACACAGGACGCCCACGCCAGTCAGCCATCTCTTCTTGCGTTCATCCTCAGGGAAGTACGGCTCCATGATGCCCGTGATTGGGTTCTCCTCCATCATGGGAGCCTTGGCAGCAAACTCTGGCCGAGGCCGCTCCTGAGAAGAAAAACAAGACGAGTGAAACAGTGGACTTTCTTCTTCCATACTTCCGTAAGAAAATAATTTTCTTTTCTAAAATCTCCCTCATGTTAAAGACAAACACAATCATAAATAAAGTCACACATTTTGGACACAAATTCTTTGAGCATATTTTGGTATGGTTGAGCTGCTTGTCTCGCACATACCTGAGAAAAAAAATAAGACGAGTGAAACAGTGGACTGTCTCTGCACAAGTAGCAGTGCTGTAGTCAAGCCCATCCCAAGTCCGTAAATCGCATGTCATATCACAAGTCCCTTCACAAGAAACCAGGGATAAACAACAGCTAAGGACTGCGTTTGTTACAGTTACCCTTAGTTGAATATCTCACGATTTGACTTGAGACTAGCAGACTTGTGAGGACATTTTAAGGACTTGCTATGGACTCATTGCACCATTCAAAAAATCGACTGACCTAAAATCAGTGGACCCATAATTAAAACGCAGTCCATGGAATATCTTCTTGCACAGCAAGAGTCTATGATATGCGAGCAGATATGGGGATTAATTATGCAAAACAAGACTGTCTTGACCTCGAGATTCTGACCATTCAGCTGGCGCCTTCTATATCGGGTCTCTGGTAACCCATTGTTGTATTACAAAAACATGGCAGCCAAATCGACCAATCAACAGCCTACTCCACATTTCTGATTTCTAAAGCCGACTCCGATTGGCTGGCATGCGGGGTCACATAAAATTTGCATTGCTCATATCAGACGTTGGTTACGAAGAGGACTCCGTTGGACAATGGGTGATACTTGGACTAATTAAAACCTGGGTACTTCTGAAGGCCTCTCTTTGGTCAATGCATGTCTCTGTTCAGGCAGCGCTGGTGGGAAGCCATAAACCCAATCAAAACTGGAAGAAACTTTCAGAATAAAATTACATAAAAGGTGCTTTCAGAATAAAATTCCATGTACTGACCTCTTCCTCCTCAAAATCCATGACATCCCAGTGGTGGGCTAGACTAGCTTGCTTACGCTTCCAGTACTCCAGGAAAGACACAGCTGTGAATGAAATGAGGGAAAACTCCAACTCAGCACACAGTCAAGTTATAAGAGGGGGCATGCAAATTAACCATTAGCATATGTACTGCATTGTATTACATTGTATTTATTCTAGGAGGAATCCAGAAAACCATAGAGAGCTTTGGACAATTTTAGGGCAGTTCATGGAATAATGGGCAGGGCAGTTATGGGACGATGGGACAAAAGAATTGATATTTTAGATTGCAGGGACACATGTACTTAATCACACATCTCATGGTATCAGATAACAGTACCCTCACCGGACACGTTAGCTCTAGCCTCACTATTCTGTCAGTTATCGTAAAACTCCTAACTTTGACTTACCCCAGAATGACATAAAGATGGCAAAGAACAGCGTCCCTGGATGATCAAACAGATAAGCAATCTGCAAAACAATGACCAGCGAGTGAAAAGAGTGATTGCAAAAATTGACACATGGAGAGTTGGCTACAAGTAATTTGAACAGCAGACTTTTCATCAACCCTAACCGCTTGGGGCATTTTGGCCCAAAACCGTCCTCAATCCTCCAAAATCTTGCACTTATATGTTCAAATGAAGGATACCCAGTGCCTCAATCCTTCAAAATCCGCCGACAGTCCTGCCTCTCAAAATGCATTCATCCTCAATCCTCCAAAATCCTCATGTGCTTCAACACCATTCATCCTCAATCCTCCAAAATCCTCCTGTGCCTCAATCACCATTCATCCTCAATCCTCCGAAATCCTCCTGTGCCTCAATCACCATTCATTGTCAATCCTCCAAAATCCTCATGCTTCAACCACCATTCATCCTCAATCCTTGATCCAAAATCCTCCAAAACCGTCAGGAGGATTTTGGAGGATTGAGGTTAAACCTATAACCGCATGGGGCCTTTTGGCTAGGAACCATCCTCAATCTCGCAAAATCCTCCAAGTTCCACCATGTGAAAATTTGATACTGCCTCCAACCTCCAAAATCATTCATTCTAAACATATTCATAAGATGGGTTTAAAGGATTTTGCATATTGCTGTGAATACTGACTTTAAAGGGGGGACTAACTTGTGTTCACAGGAAAGGAGTGCCCATCTCTCTTTCGGAGCGATTGGGCCAGACTCTAGTCCATGAAATGCTGCAGTGGGGGGATCGCCACACCTCCTCCACAGCGAGTCTGTTACCTTCCCAGCATTGAATAATGCCGGTACCCTTTCAACACCTGGGTTGAGAGGAGTAATTGAGGTAAAGCGCCTCACTCAAGGGCACAACATGCATAGCCACCGCGGGGCTCGAACCCACAATCTCACGATCATGAATCCTGTGCCTTACCGCAAGACCACATGTGCCCACAATTATAAACAGCATGTTTTCTACCTCTGCTTGCATGCATGTAGAAGACAGGTTCCAGTACGTGCAGCCAATTTCCTCGTCACACAGCGGACACATCTTGAATTCGTCACCACTGTCACATAGTTCCTTTCTGTAGTGCAAGAAAAGGTTTTTGTTTTCTTATTGTAATCCCAACTTTCTTGGCGGCAATCTTGATGTCTGTTACATCACGTTAATTCAAAATGTACACACCGAAAGAAAATTTTGGGCAAAGCGGAGGACCGCAGATCGTGTGAAATATTTCAATTATGATTTAGGCTTGGGCGGTATTATATTTTGAGAGTGCTCGGTATACTGTCACAAAAATATTGCGGCATTCGGTATTATCAGGTACTTTTCTGAGTGGGGTATTATGTCACTAAAATACAATAAGACACATGGTGATAGGGAAACCGCAAACAGGCAGCATGGGCAGAACTGCAGAGAGCCTGCTGGATGAGTAGTTAGCACAGTTTCACCTTCAATCTAGATACCGTGACCACAAGGAATTTATACAATTATCCATACAGTGCAGATCTGGCCAAGTTGTTTCTAATTCTGTCACCATTTTTAAGGGCTTTTACACACATCTGGACACATTTACATGTAAAAGGGAAATCACGGTAGTGAAATTCTATACCGAGGTCATCGGTATTTCGACATCATTCAGTATTGCTCCATATAAAAAATATTGTCACTATTCGTTATTTTTGGAAATATAGTCCAAGCCTATTATATATCCAGCTGCAAACTGCACAGAGGCCCAAGGCTCCAAAAGATTGGAGAAGCATAAAGATAAATAACAGATGGGATAAATACTTAAATTTCAGACAAAATTCAACTTACGCAGGAACATTAAAGCTGACGGTTATAATTCCGTAGAGGAAGACCAGCACGCCTACCACCGATGCAGGCAACAGCCATCCTGTGTAGAAACCTGGTAAAAGTAAAAAAACAAAAAAAACAAATGCAAATTGTTCAAAATGGATCACTCTTCTTTTAACAATCACTGTCTATTTTGTACAACACCCATGTATACTTACATGTATGGAGCTAACTAAACTTTGAAATATATTGGACAACTCAATTACCTGCAGAAGTTTTAAAACCCAAAGCGGAATACATCAGGTGTTTTTTTACTTTGCAAATGAGTAATTCTATAAATTTAGGGTCCAATTTTTACAGTATTAACAGGGACAGGGAAAGTGTCACATTTTGGACACTAAATTTATAGAATGACCCCAACGTATCCATCCTGTCCTATCATGGCACTTATCGTGATAACTTAAATCATTATAACCGTACCCCCTCCCCCCCCCCTTGGTCTTTTTGCTAGGATGCATCCTCAATCCTTCAAAATCCTCCGTTCTTTTTTTGAGCATTTGTTCATGGCAGGGGGGACCACTGCCTTAATCCTGCAAAATCCTCCGCCAATTACTGTTAATTTGCTGAGGCAGTGCGGATGATATCCAGAAGCAGTGCGGATGATTTCAAGTATAATCTACGCCTAAATTTATGCATGGCCAAGCATGTACAACACAAGGTGCAGCCGTAAGGCCCTGTCACACTGTCTGCGATCTTATATGCACTCTCACTGCGTCCTTGAAAAATAGCTGGGGCGCAACAACAACTACTAGATCGCAGCGACGACTACATAGGTCGCCAGATGGGCGCCAGAGGGTCTTAACGGTCTTCGATGAGCGCAAAGGTCTTTGAACATGCTCAAAACAATCGCAACACCTCTGCGCTCTTGCCAGGGCGCCGTAATGACGCAACTCGGGCGCTGTGCGAGCGTGAATTGTGCGACATTGAAGTGGCATTGAGGCAGCTTAGGCGCAAGGCGGTCGATGTAGTCTCCCCCCATGAGAAAGTAACTCGACTGCGATGAACTTGTTGAATAATTTTTGAAACTGGACTGTGTATTGACTGTTTTGTCGTGGTAAATCCTACACCTCTGCAGAGAGGATTTTGAAGGATTTGGGAAGGTTAGGGTTAAGCAACTGACTTACCGAGCCAGGCAAAATAGATACCGATCTTCTCTCCAAAGTATTCCCTGATGTGATCCAGCGGTTGGTACTTGTACCAGCAGCCCCAGCGGGCCCAGTATTTATTGAGAATCTGCCGCTTGTTCAAGTCTTCCTTGCTCACCAAGTTGCCTTTGGGCATTTCCTCAGTGCCCTGAAAATGGAATCATTAACGTCAATATGTCTGAAAATTGTCTAGGCTAAAACACCGAGCATAGAAAGTATACTAAACAACACTGACCTAGTCAGTTTACATTTGTGGTTCATTTGAAAAACAAATAAAAACCGCTTACATCATGGAGAGGATATGCAGCCTGGAAGACGTCCTCCTCCAGCAGTCGGTCGATGCCGATCTCGGCACGCCGCCGCTTGCCGTACGTACAGCTCTGAAGAATCTCGTTCACCACTCGGGTGCGCTCCGTGTTGGTGAAGAAAGTGTCCTTATTGTCACTGCCCAGGAACCTACGGAGGTGAAATTTCGAGATCGTGATGGCCCACCAAGATTCTAGCCGTGATTCACTGCCTGGACATGTACTCATGTTTTACTATACTCCCGAGGACAATGCCTTTTGTTTTCCTTTGTCCCTGTAATATAACACTCTCCCATAGACTACATTTTGTAAGCACACAAACCTACCACAGAGGACTGTTTTGAACAAAAGACCCAACTCCCGAGGACTGAAAGGATCTGATGTTCTTCCTTTGTGTGTCTGTCTTCGGGGGTTATGTACATGTAGAACAAGTACATACCGGTACATACATTACACGGTACATTGTATGACCCAGAGTCGTAAAGACTTAAGTCAATGACTCGACTCGAGTCACAATTTTTGGTGACCCGACTCAACTAGAGTCCCTAATAAGAAAATGACTCGACTCGAGTCACTGCAAGCACATGACTCGACTCGACTCAAATCGCTCATCAGAAGACTCAACTCGACTCAAGCGATGGCTAATAAGACTTGAGTCCCAAACATAAAATCAAAACTTTGCAAAAAATATCAAGAATTTATATAGAGATTTTAGTTAATATTTAAACAAATTTAGCATTACCACAAAAACAATTGTCACAAATCGTTCATTTCAAAACACTGATAACATTTCAGAATTTCATACTTCCTTATCTTGGATCTCTTGAAGGAGCAGGTGAAGAAGTCCAGTGGCTTGTTGGGCACATTGTTGGCCATGATGTTGGGAATGTGAAGCTTCTTCAACATCCGGGCTGACCAGTTGGAGCTGGGGTTGGTATGGGCCTGGTGGCAGAGATTCAAACGCAACTCAATTGAATAATTTAAATAAAGTACGAGGCGGATTGTGGTTGCCTGATGACCCCGACGTGCCCGACAGAGGAGGCTCAACACAGTGAGTTCCGGTTACCAGTGAGTGCCTGCATGCATCACGTGAAGCCTTGCAGCTTGCATGTGTCGTGAGGTTTATCGTCATGCTTGTGGCCTGACCGCAGTGTGTTTATCTGCAGCACACATCGACATTCGATCATGATTATTCAGCTAGTTTGATGTTTATTCATAAGAATATAACAATGACGTCACACCATTACTATCACTCAGTCATACAAAAAAGCATTTCAAAATACGGTTTTTGTCGAGCTGCCAGAGTGGCCTAGTGGATAGCGGAATCAACTATGGATCGCAAGATCTGCGGCTCGAACCCATGCCATTTTCATCAAATATCGTTGTTGGTTGATTAATTGAAGGGAAAACACTACGAGAACCTAAGAGTCTTCTATCCACACAGAGTGATAAATATTCATGTTAGGATGCGTGATGTGATTGGTTCAAATACGATGTATGCTGCAAAAAAAAAAATACATGGCCTGACCAAGTGACTTACAAGCTACATGTACACAGTGGCATACCTAGGATTTGGCTTTGGGGGGGCTCACAGGTTTTTTTTTGTTTTTTTTAGAATTTAAATTTTTTACCAAATGTTGCCAAAAAATTTGGCCGCAGAAATTTTTTTTGGGGGGGGGTGGAGACAGTATTTTACGTTGGTGGCGCCACTTACACCCCTATTATACTACTCAAAAATAGGCCACATACATATCACCAAGGGAAAATTGTGGGAATTTAAAAAACTTGGCAACCTCGGGGGGGGGGGGGGTTCAAGCCCCCCAATCCCCCTCCCCCCCCTGCCCCCTTGGGTGCGCCACTGCATGTACATGTACCTTTGAAGACTTCCAACCAAACCTCATGCCCACAAGACCTAAAGGTCTATAGGGACTATAACCATGATGCGTTGTTACCATCCCTTGGAACTCCTGCTGCCTACCGGTACATGTACTTGTACCGGTACCATGGAGGCCTTCCCTAAAAAAGACCTTCACCAGAATTTCCCCTCAGACCGACCCATAGTCTAGCCCATGCACAAGGCCCACCATGTAAAGGCCTGTTCATGCATTACAAATGTAGGCCTATATACCACAAAGGCCTTAGCATGGCACATGAGGCCAACCAGGGAGGCCTGCATTTCAAGTGCTAATGGTCCTAAAGTCCTGCACACCACGCCTTCCCAAAGGCCTTCCCTAATTTTTTTTTTAACTCACCACATCCAGAAAATGCCTTGAATCACGTTAAGATTGCAACTTCAATAAAATGTTATAGTTTCAGATGTAACGCATCAAAGCCAACAACAAATTTGATAAATGTTATCCAGGTCGAATAAATTGAGGCATTTTGTTACATCCCAGGTTTATTGACACTTACAACATGTATTTAAAGCTGTGTAGTCTCAGTCCAATAAGGATCAAGGTTACTACGCATTTAGCTCTGCCTTGGTCTTTTTTACAATTTTTTTTTTTTACATATTTTTGACCCTGATCTGTCAAATTTGTGACCCGGATTTTTTAGTATTTTCGACCCAGATCTTTCATATTTTTGACCCAGATCTTTCAAATTTTGACCCAGATCTTTCAAATTTTGACCCAGATCTTTCAAATTTTGACCCAAATCTTTCAAATTTTTTAACCTAGATCTTTCATATTTTTACTCCAAATACATGTACACCAACCTATATGACTGGTTTGGGGGAAAATATTCAGAAATTTAAAATACCGTTCATCCCCAAACAATGTTTCTATTCTTACTGAGGTACGGTAACCTTAAAATTTGACCTTATGACTCCATTGTACAGTACATGTATATCACATGATCATGTACAATTCCAAGCAGCAATATGTATTTTAATGTGTACATATATACCAATTATGGGATAAAAATCATGTGGGCTTGTAGAAATTGTGTTAGCTTTGCAGCTTTACACACAATGAATTTTAAAATGTTGATGGGAATGCAAGGCTTACACGCCATTGCCAAACCAACAATAAAGGGCAAACAAGCATTATAAGCTGCACAATCGACAATGGGGCCAACAATAATGCATTGAAAGCATGCACAACTTGCATTATTGATGACTGCTCGTAAGAAATAAATACTGCATTGTGATGTACAAAGTACCGGTATGGCCCCGGTACGTACAGGCAATATACACAGTATGTACACAGGAATTATGGGGTTTTTTTCAGGCTTGACATTCACAGGCAGCAGTCACAATGCAGTAGAATCTGAAAAAAGAATGCACTGGGAGTACGTGTGTAGATGTATCGTTGTACGGTAAAAGAGGGTACGGTACATATACATGTAGATCTGCAAGCCATTAAAGCTATAGTCCATCATTTGCAGCCATCCGAAAAAGAAACTGGCGTATTATTGTTGAAAAACATACTTGGTTGAAAGATATTAAGTGGACTAAACTCCCTGTGAAATTAATCTTTCTGGCAAGCTATCATTTTGAAGTAATCAACGAAAGAAGGCCTTTCCAACGGTGCATCTTAAGACGCACCGTAGGAAAATTTAAATTAGTAGTTCGTTTTGTTATTCAGCGCAGCGCGCGCAAGCATTGGCACGACGCACAGGCGCGCGCGGTTGCTATAATTTGTCGGATCAGTGCGTAACATTGCGTATAGCTGCAAATCAAAACAATTCAAAACATGATTCAGCAACTTTTGATTTGAAATTGAGATCATAGAATGCTGTTTTTCTCTGAATATACAGCTGAAGCTGAGTTGAAACCATGATCAGGTTAGTTGTTCAGTATCTTTCATTAGATTTTGAACACTTTTGTTGCTTCAAACGAACAAAATGCACAAATTACAAATGATGGACTATATCTTTAAAGAAGACTACCGGTAATAACAGAATAAACTATTTCATTAACTTGGCCTGCAGCCTACATTCACAAAATGTACATGTGTAACAAGATTCGATGATAATTAATACAGCAGGCATGCAAACAACAAGAACAACAGCAACAAGAAAAGAAAAATTAAAGCTTTGAAAGACTTAATTCACACAGAGGTTTTCAATTCTGACAAGGCACAAGTCTGAAATAAAAAGAGGAAATCAGCTGATAGGGCCTATCCGCGAAAAAATGTTGAACGCCTGAGACAGGAATTTTAAAAGGAATAGTCAGGCCTGGGCTTTCCAAGACTTGGGTACATGTACTCAGAAAGTGTGCACAATTGACGTGTACCTCGTATTCTCAAACGATAGTGTGCTACACATGATACGTGTACAAGACATTTATTCCCTTGCATGCAAGACCTTTAAAAAGAGTCTATCAGGCATAAAAAAGTAAAGAAGCACACACACGGCTTTCCAAGACTTACTCAGAAAGTGTGCACAATTGACGTGTACCTCGTATTCTCAAACGATAGTGTGGCACACATACAGGATACGTGTACAAGACATTCATTCCCTTGCATGCAAGACCTTCAAAAAGAGTCTATCAGGCATAAAAAAGTGAAAACAGACACACACAAAAGGAAGTGGTACAGTGGTATCACAGGCTGAGAATAAGAATGGAAAGGGGTATAATGGTGTCTACAGTAAGCCCACAACCGTCACTCCGTTGAAAAGTCCCTGCACAGAATTTTGTAAGCATTTTGGTTATCAATGAAACTTTGTGGAATGCAAGATGCCCGTAGAAACTGAAGTGCCTTTCTCAGGAGTGTTACTTTTCTTCGAGTTTCAAGTTTCGAGTGGACTTTTCGAGTTTTGAGTTAAGTTTTCGAGTTGAGTCAAAACTTGAAAAGTCAACTTGAAACTCAAAAACTTAACTCGAAACTCAAAAACTTAACTAATACAACTTGAAACTTCAAAAGTCAACTCGAAACTCAAAAATCCAACTCGAAACTCAAAAATTTTACTTGAAACTCGAAAAGTTAACTCGAAACTCGAAACGTCAACTTGAAACCGAAACTCGAAAATTCGACTCGAAACTCAAAAAGTTAACTCAAAACTCGAAAAGTCAACTCGAAACTCGAAAACTTAACTCGAAACTCGAAAACTTAACTCGAAACTCGAAAACTCAAAGAAAAGAAACCCTCCTTTCTCAGTTTCTTAAAATATAACCCAGGTTAAAGTCAGTATGTGACCAGGCATCATCTTACGTCCAGTCCGGGTACATCACTCGCTAATCCTGAGTAGATCTGGTTCAAGGAAGGATAAAAATGAAGGAATTTTGTTTTATAGTGCAGTCTGGTAAAGGGTAGGATTGTAAACAAGCCGTGGAAATACCAGAATCTTAGGAGGCTTGAAACAGCACAGCTACGATCACTCTCCATGTACATTAAAAAGTTCGATTTTCATAAATTATGATCACTGTACATGTACATGTAGCATCGGTCCATTGACCATACATGTACACGTCTCTACCTACCGTAACTTCTACTCTAACCCTGCTGAATCCAACAGGATCCAACTATGTCACATCCCCGATGGAGCCTGTTGGATTGAGCAGTAAACCCCTTGTGTACATTCCTCATGCAAAATGTTGGATTCAGCAGGCAACTGAACCGCATTATAATGCCAAGTTCGACTCCGTTGGATTCAGCAGACAACTGAAAATGAGGCACAGTGGATTGAGCAGGAAACTCCGGTTAGACTCTGTTGGATCTAGCAGGGTCCTGAGGAACTACAGGGGGTTAGGATGGCATAGGCCCCTATACCGTAGGATCATTTGCACTTATCACAACAGTAACCCACCGTATTGTTATCCAAATGCTTACTTGAACTTAAAGATCATACTGGTAGTACTAAACATTATTCTGTCTTGCTTGCTGTCATATAAAATAAATCAAGAAAAGTTCATACATGTGACTGATTTTCAGAAAAAAAGTACTATTGATGAAATCATGCTTCGTGATCAAAGGGTTGTGTACATGTTTCTTTTTTACTGTTTTCTTGAAAAGTGTAATATCCACTTAGCTGAAACTTCAACAGGTTAGGTTTTGATCCTGTTTCTTTGGATTTGGAGTGGTGTTATTATTTGAAATGAACAAAATTCATGAAAAGCAAATGAGGACTATATACATGCCTTTAACTACATTTTGTATTTTGGAATCTGCATACATGTAGCTCTGCGCGTGCCCCGAAACACACAAAATAGAATACATTAAAAAAACTCCCAAATCCACACATGTCCCACCCGCGTCGGTTTGAATACATTCGGTTCTACATGTGTACATGTACCGGGGTACGTGTGAATTATACGTACATTGGGGGAATACATGTATACATGTATGCTGGGGGTGAACTTTTCATTTTGTGGAACTGCTTTTTAAGATTTGTTAGTAAACAATAGCGAGGGAAAACAAGTGCATTTCCATGTTTACATGCAATTGCAACTTTAATTTTCACCAACTGACTATATGTTTCCACGTTTTCTAAGGAAATAATACTTAAGAGTTCTTAATGTTAAGGTGTTTTATTTAAGGAAAGTTTTCTTGAAATTATTTACCGTAGCCTAAAGGAAAATATTAAGAAATTGGTTGATTTAAACTGTGTTTTTTTTTCACAATCATTAACTTGAAAGAATGCATGCAAACAACAATGGCATTTGTTAACCACTATTATGCCGGGTTGCATGTTGCAAAACTAATTTTCAAAGTTTGGCAATTAGTGTAGACCAGACATGTAAACACGACATAATGAAAACAAGATCCAATTAACATGTAAACTGGTCTTCGAAATAGTTTACTGCACAAATACAGTGTATGATGCGTGTTATAACAAGTAGCAGTTTTGGCAGCTGGCGTTGGCTTTTACTTCAATGATTTTGTGAGGGATACATGCACTCATTTATTAGTCATGTACCGGTACATGCTGTATAAATACATACATACATCATCATAATGTACGTGTACATGTACATGTACATACTGCACGTCATCATGCATGACGTGGAAATTTTGAGCAATATAGTAAACAGGCCTCAATAGGCCTATTCAATGTGTTTGTTATTCTATTGATATTAGAGAGATGCCAACCTCTCCTTTCAGCATAACCATATGTGTATGGATGTAATTAAAGCCTGATTGGCATATTAATGGCAGTGGATTGTCATTTATATTGTCCTTAATTTTACAGATGGGAAACACATTACATTAAAGGGGCATTAAAGGGAATATACAACATTTGCAAACATCGAAAAACAAAACTACCAAATTTTTACAAAATACCTCACTAGGATGTTGGCAAATGACAGTCTAAAGCATCCTGTAAAATTATGGCACCTGGTGGGAAGTCATTTTCGAGAAAAGTGGTATTTTTGTATAAATTTCCAATGGTCAGGATGGTGGTCGGCCGACCACCGTTGGAAAACCTAACTATTTTTCAACTTCTCGTCCCAATTTAGCAATTTTTTTTCATTTCAAATTTTGTTTGCTATTGATTACATGTTCATGAACGGGTGTGTGCCAGCTAGACTGGTTCCCTTACCTTACAATTTTCCGGCATCTATAAATCGATCATTTTATTTTGAGTGGAGTCAGGGAACCAGACTACTTGAACATTTTTGTTTTTCTTGGTTTTTCCAGCATTTCCGAACACAAAACTTCAAACATGTCAGTGTAACAATATTTGATCTATTATACTAACCCCTCCAATAGTTATTTTCTGAAAATTACAGCAAAAGCCAATGATTTACATTGCCTTTAAAGGGGCATTGCGTCCTGGAATGCACCCAATTGGGCTAGAAAATACTTGTACATGTACCTTTAAAACGAAACGATGTCAATTGGAAAGAGCATTTAGAATTAAGATGAAAGTCCACACAACCATCCTTTAAAACAGGGCGTTTTTGTGTTATTCTTGCGAGAACCATGCAACATCAACAACCATGAAGTCAAACTTTTGACTCCCAAAAATTGAGCTGTTGAGTGCTAGTTGCGAATCGTGCCGCACATGTTGCACAAGTGCATCGCATTCTGTTGACGTGCCAGAAACAACATTTGTGTATTGGTGCTGTGTGTATTATGTGACACACAAACAATGTGTACTTTACATTGAATGGACACAGCTGGATATGCGTATGCCACAAAATGTCCGCCGTGTCCGATGTAAACAGCCAGGGTTTTGGGGTTTTTTTCCCCTCAGAAACGGTAAGACATTAGGTTAGTTTCCTTACAACCAGACTTTTGAAATAGCATAAGCAATCAATCCAAAACATACATTTGTTTGAGATTTCAGGACGTAATACCCCTTTAATCACAAACTATCAAATTTAAAGTTGAAGGAATTAAAAAGCAAGCACAAAGTTTTGTGTCCTTCCAAAATGCCTCACAACAACGTCTTCTTTAGATTTTAGGCCCGTCTTTCTTACCGTGTACTTAGTACAACAATAAGCATCTGTACTGATGACGTCACACTTTGTTTACATGTGCACTTTCCTATGGAGCCAGTGGGGGCCCACGGTCCACTGAGCGCCATAGGAAAGCACACACGTAAACAAAGTGTGACGTCATTAGCACAGAGGCTTATTGTACGTTATGTACCTGTAACGGAGCCCTGAAGTTCAGTTCTTCGGCAAAGAACTCCAGCACACTCCACGGAGCATGCAGCTTGTAGTACGTTATTGTCTTCTTGTCGCCTTCTGCTATATCCAACTCAATCTCTACACCGTATCTGCAAAACATATTAAAATACGGTAAAGTAGTGATTAGTTAAAGGTAAAGTCCATCATTTGCAATTTGTGCATTTTGTTCTTTCGAAGCAACAAACATGCTCAAACTCTGAAGAAGGGTGCCGAACAACTACCGGTAACCTGATGAAATTTCAGCTCAACTTCAGCTGTATATTTCGAGAAAAGCAGCATTCTAGGATCTCGATTTCAAATCAGAAGTTGCTGAATCATGTTTTGAATTGGGCCTGAATTCAGCATCTGAGACACGTTCTCACTGAGCCAATTGCAGCTTCGCGATGTCGCACTGATCCGACGAATTATAGCAACATGCGGGCACGTGTGCGTCGTGTCAACGCTTGCGCATGCTTCGCCAAATAAAAACAAAATACTAATGGAAATTTCTAACAGTGCGTCTTAAAAGACGCACCGTTGGAAACGCCTTCTTTCGTTGATTTCTTCAAATGACAGCTTGCCAAAAAGAATAATTTTATAGGCAGGTTAGTCTCATTACTATCTTTCGACCAAGTATGTTTTCCACAATAATTACATGTACATGTATGTCAGTTATTTTTTGGATAGCTGCAAATGTTGGACTGTAGCTTTAAAACTGATTTTCGCGGTCCATCCTAAATGAAATAATTTGGTACAATGAACATATTCTCATTGGAGAAATACTCATGTAAGCCTTGACAAGTCACAGATTTTCCAAGACAAATATCACAAAAAAATTGTTCCTCTTCAAAGACACATATGAATTTCTATTAACTGGATGTCCAATATTTGCAGTTGTTCTAAAAACTGAAGAAAACAATTTAAATTAAATGTTGAACATGATTAAAACCCTTACACCTTGAGTGATTTACTTGGAACCTTCCTCACTCTTGCAAAATCCAACACCATGTATGGTTAACTCTACACTTAAACTGTTGGACTCTAATTATGGTGGTATGCCTGCCTAACCCCATGTAAAGCATTTACTGGTGCATCATCAGTACTCATTCCCACATATTCCAACAAAACATGCAGTTGGATTTTGAATGGTTTGGGGTGGTTAGGGTTAACCCCAAACCCTTCAAAATCCAACTGCATTTAGGTGCATTTAGTGAATTTGAAACTCTGCATGTGGCATTAACATATGATCTCGTAAACTGATGTGATATTCCGGGTGATTTGTGAGGACTATTGAGGATTTGTGAGGACATGTGAGGACTTGCGAGGACTTGTCATGAAACTTGTGGGGACTTGTGGAGACTTGTAATGGACTTGTAGGGACTTGTGATGGACTTGTGAGGACTTGTGGAGACTTGTGATGGACTCATAGGGACTTGTGATGGACTTGTAGGGACTTGTGATGGACTTGTGAGGAGTTGTGATGGACTAGTAGGGACTTGTGATGGACTTGTAGGGACTTGTGATGGACTTGTGGGGACTTGTGATGGACTTGTAGGGACTTGTAATGGACTTGTAGGGACTTGTGATGGACTTGTGAGGACTTGTGGAGACTTGTGATGGACTCGTAGGAACTTGTGATGGACTTGTAGGGACTTGTGATGGACTTGTGAGGAGTTGTGACGGTCTTGTAGGGACTTGTGATGGAATTGTGAGGACTTGTGAGGACTTGTGATGGAATTGTGAGGACTTGTGAGGACTTGTGATGGACTTGTGATGGACTTGTGAGGACTTACGGTGATGGACTTGTGGGGACTTGTGATGGACTTGTGGGACTTGTGATGGACTTGTGATAGGACTTGTGATGAAACTTGAGGGGACTTGTGATGGACTTGTAGGGACTTGTGACGGTCTTGTAGGGACTTGTGATGGAATTGTGAGGACTTGTGATGGACTTGTGGGGACTTTTGTTGGACGTGTGAAGACTCGACATGGATTTGTGAGGACTTGTGACGGACTTGTGAGGACTGGTGATGGACTTTTAGGGACTTTGACGGACTTGTGATGAGCTTCTTGTGATGGACTTGTGAGGACTTGTGATGGACTCGCCTACATTGGTTTGAAGAAATGGCGATCAAATCAACCTGTCATCCAATCCCAAAGTGTTGTGCCTACCTTCTCAGATTCTCCAGGAATTTGTTGCGCCACATCACCTGCTGAGCCTCCTCATCCTCCTCCGCAGGTAGATTCTTCTCTATGCGTTCCTGCTCCTCCCTCGCCTTCTTCTGTTTCTGCTTCTCTGTCAGTTTCTCCTCCTCGTGAACTATCACAAAATCTATGGACCAAAACCATGAAAACGTATATAACTTGTTGAGCAAACCTTCAAATTTTTCAAATTCAAAGCAGCTTATATAATTTCACAAACCTATGCTCCTATGTTGAGCATGACATGACATGATGTCGTTGAGTTAAGAGTCGTGGGTCACACTTCAAATTTAGGGTCCAATATGTGACATGGGTAAATTTTACAAATTGATTACCACAAAAGACAAAGTCAAATGAAGACAAACGTGATTACAAGTTGAACTACGAGCCCCATTAAAAACAATTTTAAAACCGTTATTGAATTTTTTGTTAGGCAGGTAGTTTGCCTTATCAATCACACCTGGAAAATAAAGGTCGTACATTGTGTAAATACAAATTTGGTTCACAATTTCTTGTGTTTGTTGTCAGATTTAATAGGAAAAGGGGGAAATGGCATCTAACAAATTAAAGTCACCGATTGTTTGTTTTTGTTAGATGTGTAGACTTGTGCTTTCAGACACTTTACTAGAAAGTATCCTGAATCCGCCAAAATCTATCAATTTTGCCATGCAAAAAAATATTGGTTGACAGCGAGTCCATCAGAATCCACCAGTTAGCCGGGAGTAAATCTGTTGAGATCCTGAATCAATCAAAGTCCACCAACTGCTCAATATGGAGGTATCCTGAACCCATCAAAATCCTGCAGTTCCGCTAGGCTTACAATCCTGAATCCATCAAAATCCCCCAGTTTTTGCAATATAGAGGTATCCTGAATCCGCCGAAATCCCCTGAAACAGGTGTGTGGATTTTGATGGATTCAGGTACGTTAGGGTTAAAGAAACCCAAGCCCAAATTCAAATCTGGGAAGTTGCTGTTCAGATTGGTCATAAATGTTCGCACGATAATACTGGCACATCGGTGAAGCAATACGCCTAGATAGAATGTTTACAATGAGTTTTTGAGCTATGTGGTGAAAACTGCAACTTTCGCAAGCATGTATCCTATTTTTCATTTTGGAAATTTTCCTACTGATTTTCGAAACCTTTCTTTTTCAATGACTGAGAAGTTACTAAGTAATTTGCAAAGCTGGTTACGGGTACCCGATCCCATAATCTGGAACCGGTTCCTGACATTAACCCTAACCGCCTTGAATCCTTCAAAATCCTCTTTGCCAAAGTAGAGGAATTTGGAGGATTGAGGTTACATGGCAAAAGTGCGTTACTGATTTCGTAGGATGCACTTTGTCAAGGTCTTGGGCCGGTCCTTGTGTTATTTTTGCTCAGCCGTGCATAAATATAGGCCTGGATTATGCTTGAAATCCTCCATACTGCTCCAGGATGTCACTGGCCAAGCCTCAACGTATTGACAGTCACTGTCGCAGGATTTGGCAGGATTCAGGCTATATGCTATTTTTTCATGAGGTCAATTGGAGGATTTTGCAGGATTGAGGCTACACCCTATCAAAAAGGCCTAGGGAGTTAGGGGGTTAATGGTCGGGTACTCGGGTACCCGGTTCCGATGCACAGCCCTACTGTTGTGTGTACTTATTATAAAGTACTTACGGTACTTGGCAATCAAACTTTGGACATACATCGACTCACCAATTTTTCTCTTGCCATCATTGAAGAATGTTCCTGGGTCGTCATTTGATCTTCGGACGCTGAACTCAATAGGTGTACCTTCCTCTTCCTCATCGCCATCCTAATTGACAAAACACACAAACCAAATCAGATGTTAGGGGCGAAAAGAAGCTTGGAGTTGCAGCAATGAATTTGCTGACCTCAAACTTTTTACCTCCAGATTTTACCAAAACATCAAAAATAAACAATATTCTGAAAATTTACATCAAAAATAAACAATATTCTGAAAATTAAAAGTCTTCTCTGTGCCAGTTTTCTTAATACATTATTGGTTAAGTAAACAATCAAACAGGTTAATTAAACAGAAAACTTAATTGAACATTGAAGTAAGTTAACAATGACCACCTACATTGTAACATAAACAAAAATACCTTTAAAAATCTTCCAATAAACCTACCTGGGTAATTTCTCAAGGGCAATATCGTAAATTGCACAATTATTTTGGCCTAACTGGATTCCATTTTTTTTAAATTTAACTGGACAATGTATAAAATGCACAAGTGCATTTATGCAACGCCTGAATAAATCCCCGTCATCTGATTGGCGGGTCGTTGATCAAATGTCATTGAATTATTTGTTCCACCCCACCGCCCGACCACACCGCAAGAAAACAGTGTGCCAAAAAAAGTGCAACATTCAGAAAACAAATATTTAAAACTGTTTTAAATTGTTGGGTTTTTTTTCAATGAAACTCTTACATTGAAGTCTGACTATTTCTCAATCCATTTTCTATCCCATTCCATTTGGGTCCTTAGATCCACAAATACATGTAAATGAAAGGGAGTAAATTTTACTGGGGTCACTCTCACCAGGACAAGCTAAATCTGGGTTAGGCATTGAATAAGCATTGAAGTTGGTGACAAGCACTGAATAGGCATTGAACAGGCATCACAGACCTGAAAGTGGCCCAAGTAAAATTTATACCCTTTCACTTTAATTGATTGTATTTCTGGGTCTAGGGACCCAAATGGAATGGGGTAAAAAGGAGTGGGTTGAGAAATAGTCAGGCTGTAATACAATAATTTCATTGAAGAAAAAAACATTTTAAGCAGATCTAATTACAATGTACTTGTTTTCTGAGTGTCACACTTTTTTGGCACACTCTGTTGAAGTTCTATTCCACAGTAAACAGAAGTTCCATTGCAACAGCCACACGATTGGTGGCTCTGACCAGATGACAAGAATTCATTCAGGCGCTGTATAAAACAAATAATGAACGTTTCACATTTCATGCAATGGAAAGAATAGTTCATCCCGTGACAGATGGAATGTTCCATTCCACTGGCTTCACCTCGTGGAATGGAACATCCATCTGTCACCTCATGAAATTGCACTCATAAATTCATTGTACATAATTTTTTTACGCAGTTTTTAACCGTACATACAGTAGGCCTATAACATATGGTTTTCAGTGTTTTCAGTAAACACAAAAATTGTGACCTGATTATGCATAACGTTCAGTACTGCAGAGTAATATCCTTACAATACAGTCAGTACATGCACTGGTATCCTTCTCTATTGTAATGTATTACAATAGAGAAGGACAGATATAAAACAGTTATTGTTTAACTACTGCAGCACTAGTGAGACTACATGCACAGTTGTGCCTGTAGAACGGACAGTGAACATATTTAACTCAAGGTCTTATATTGATTAATTTTAAAGTGGCTCTACACACATGTGTGAAGCATTGTTAGGATTACATCAGTGACTAAGAGGATGCCGCAGTCAATAAAATGATTTTTTTTTAAATACAAATGGTGCAATGCAAACGTATGATTGGTTACAGGAATTTGTTTCTCAATAATTTATGTCACTGTACAGCTCTAGCAAAGTCCGTACTTGCTACTTTTTGTTTCTGTTCATTTGTTTACAGCTTCAAAATACATGTAAAATAATGATACTGAGAACATTTTTGTTCGTGCACTGTCGTCAACAACCACAATAGCAGCTTCAACCAGTGCAAAATCATTACTTTGGTAATGAGCGAAGAATATTTAACAAAATTTGAGGAATAAAGACGGTTGTGTTGAAATTTATATCTTGCAGATCAAGTCAGCCTGATAAAAAATAATATTGGATGGCTTTTTCAGGGGATACAAGAATTTATCTTCAAGCAAACTTGGATCCTCGATCCTGATTGGTCAATCCATGGCAAATAACATTGGGCTATTCCAAGATGCGAGAGACATTCCAGCTGCATGCACTAAACTGCTAAAAGGTTCGTGTATTGAAAGCAGGCTTAGTACATGTAGTTCCAACTCTACTATGCTTCAAGTTTGCTTGAAGATAAATGTGTTGTCCTGCGAGCGCGAGTGGAGCACGGAATAGTGTAGTGCGTCTGTGTCCCACATACATGTACCATAAGGCTGAATTAATACTGCACACGCTATAATAATATTGCACGAGTCAAACAATATTGTTATGTTTAGCTCGTGCAATATATTCTTGTATCCCCCTCAATGCCTCAAAGCCATCCAGTATTATATAAATATTTATCCAACATAATTAGATCCTAGTGATGTGTGACGGCCAATATTATGCGACACGCTTGTGCCCCCACGCACTTTGAAAAGCCTCATATTGAATTTCCTATCAATTTCATATCGAGTTCCATAAATTTACATAATGTCATTTCTTGATGTGCTTTCCAGTGCTAACATTGTAGGTAGAAAGTCTACTAGATTAACAACCCCACCCCCTCCCCAAAAAAACACACACATGCACACCACCCCAAAAAACAAACAAAATGGCTTAAACATTAAATTCATTGCAATTCAAGACAAAAGTGTCAACCATTCAAAATAATCAAAACACTTCAAATAAAATTAATGGAAATTAAGCATGCAACGACCTCTTATTAACCCTAGGGCTGGGGGGGGGGGGGGGGGGGGGTTAAGGACCAAATACGACATGTGTTGTGCACACTTGTATGGAAAGAAATGTATTGCAGGTTAATACTACTCAGTAGTATTTTGTAGCTTTAGGTGAGGTTAGGGTTAAAACTGCAGGAGGTTGTGGGTTCGAGTCCCACCTGAGTTTTTATACAATACGGAAAGACTTCCATACCTGGACAAAATATCACTTGACACCCTGTGCACAAAACCCTATGAGACTGGTCTGAAAAATTCTAAGTGTTTTCTCTGTAAATTCTTCAATATTTTCTCTGCTAAATTTGACTTTTTAGGATGATTATTCAATATCACTTTCTGATGGCTGATATAGGTCACTGCAGGGGAAAATTAGTGATGTCCATGTATGGAATTCTTCTCTTAAATACATCGGTTAACGAGCAATACCCAATAATGAAATTACATCACCCGACGCGGCAATGCTCTTAAAAATGATAATGAAAAATAAGTTAGAAAATGTATTGTACACGTCTTTTAAATTCATACCAACATTTTTTTTCTATAAAGTTGAACAATTTATTGAGACTGTAACTAATTTTCAACATAGGACTACTGCTAGCCCTACAAACAGGACTGAACATGGCTCTTTTAAGTTTGAAAATTGGTCTTTAAAAAAAAGTTATATTAATTTTAAAGGAGAGCCATTACTGCCAAGTCAAGTGCCATGTTTGTTTGTAGGCTAAATCATGTGTAGGATACTGCATATTTGCTGTGAATAACCATCAATCATTGATGTTACATGGTTACTGGTACAAAAAAAAGTGGCAGTAGAAATCTGCAATAGTGTGTTTCCAATGTGGACTGATCACAAATATATTTGGCCTCCTTTTTCCATGTTGGTAAAACGTCTATGCACCATTTTGGATTTGTACACGTATTAGTTATTTAGTACACAGTGTAATACACAATGTTACACATGATTGCAAAGTCATGAATTGTGGCACTCCCTAAACTTTTCACAGCAACAATAGTGGAGGTATGTGTTCATCGACAGTCGGGAACAGGACACACTAGACAAACTACACTCACTCACCAGGTAGTCTGAATTAGCAAGGGTTGTAGTTTCGTCCGTCGCGCCGTAGTTATCCATTGCGATGGCCGGGTTGTTGGTTAGGCCTGCCTCGTCGCCACCACCGCGGCTGGTACTTGCATGACCATTCCTCATCAGCGACATACCTTGCAATCCTGGGCCCCTTCGACCCTCAGCTTCGACCCCGCCGACACAGATCCTTTTTAGAATTCCACCAGAAAGGAACTTCCAGTCGGCTGAACTATTGCTATTTCAATATGAAAAGAGTGGGCGCGTGCACAGTGCAAGGAATTGTAGTAGCAGTATGGAGCCTAGTAAGTAGTATTGTTGTAATTGTGTGTGCAGAATTCGCCCTGACATTACAATGCGAATGTGCATAAATGCATCATCAGTGTGTTGTGCCCATTCTTGAAAATCACGCATTCTCGAGAATGGGCGTGCACATTCTTGAGAATGTGCAACTGGATCCTTGCTCAATCTTGGCAAAAAATAACTCTTCCAGATTGAGCGCACATTCTCGAGAATGCGCGACAAGATAACGGTCTTGTCGATGCCGAGCACCGGCTGCGCTTGGCAAGTCTAGCTGAATCCTCGTTCACTGATTCTCAATAATTATACTGTTGCAACGCAAGGCGCTGAAAAGTAGAGTGGATATGATAAGTAAAGGCGTATTAATATGGGGGGGGGGGACCGGGAAAATATAAGAGACATAATAATACTAGTGCAAAGAATTCTGATTTTTGGGATAATAAAAGCGGGGGGGGGGGACGTAAGAATGAAGAATGTGAAGAATGAGAATGAATACTGCGACATCCCATAGTGCTAATGCTATTTCCCATTTAAATTGCCACCAATTTATTGTTCACATCCCACCATAACGTCGCAGAGCTGGATTCTATCTAGTCAAAAGAGCAATTTTGGCAGCTTCTGGACATCGTTTTTTTTCGTGGCACGCATATGATACATACAGGGACTTGTAACTTGTCTAGCCTAAACAAAGCACTTCCCAGACTAGTTCCCAGTCCTCCGTTATTACAAAACTTCCCATAGTGGGCAGAAAAAAGCAATAATAACAGGTTTAATTTGATTCAAATTATCGTAGTTATACGAGTACAGAAGCATAGCACATTTTCTTTCCTCTTTATATGAATTGTTTCCCTTTTAACCGCTATACAATTCATTTAACATAATTATGTCGTGCAATGTTTGTTAAGATTGGGCAAAATTCATAAATTGTGCACGTGATATTCCCACCCAATCTTAAGAATGAGCGCTCATTCTTAAGAACGCGTGCTCGTTCTTAAGAATGGGCGCTCATTCTTAAGAATGCGCGCCCATTCTCGAGAATGTGCATGCCCATTCTCGAGAATGCGTGATTTTCAAGAATGGGCACAACAAGTGCAGCTAGGAGGGCGCCAGCGGATACACACTACAGCAGTGTAGTACATGTACTGCGCTCGTTTTGTACACGTACTGTGCGTAACGCATTGTTGCTGCACGATCTACGAGAACCCATTATGATTGTACATGTACACAACTAGCTAGAAACTGACAAGCGCTTATATTTAATTATTATAATAATAATAATAATAATAACGGAAATTTATACCGCGCCATTATCCGCCATAAATGACGCTCATGGCGCAAACAAAAATTATATCAAATCAGAAATATGCGCCTATCAAAAAAAAACCTCCCCCCCCCCCCGCTGCCCCAGGTCCGATGTCGGGATTTGGTCAAGTTTTTCAGTTTTTCATGCCCAAGGGAGGTGATTTTGGTCATTAAAATTACATTGTTAACATTGGCAACTATACATGGAAAGGCAATCACTAGGTGCGCCCCACGTATTTTGCCCGAAGGGTAGGGATTTTGTCACGGTCACTTCAAAAGTGACAATCCCCATGTCTTGGGTGGGGCAGCCCGGGGGAGGGGTGGGGGAAACAATTGATAGGCGCATTAACTTTGAGTTTTTTGAGCAAATATAAATCATATAGAGCTATATTAATTTTAAATAGCTCTGTGAGATAAATCAATCACGTCAGTGAAGCGTGACGCAAAAAGTTGCTGCTCGAGACGGCTTATCGAAGCTTAGATCGAAGGCTCTTTATTATATAGTCAGCACTCAATTTCAAGTCGAAGAAGTCGCGGGGAGATCCGCCCATGGCCATGGAAGTCTACCTCCACGATCCGATCCGCCATGCATAAGATTTTAGTTTAGAGCGTAAAATAAAACACTCTTTTGCTATGCTGGGAGGGATGGGGGGGGGGGGTAAACGGCCCCATCCCCCCCCCCCCAAAAAAAAACCAAATATATATAAAAATATATATCCTGTAACATAGTTAAGTTACAGGACAATGCATCCAGATCCCTAGCATTGTGGGCGGGCGGGCGGACGGGAACGCCTTCGGCATGGGCGCGTCAATCGGTACGGTATGGGGGGGGGGGGGGGCGGGGGCATATGTCCCCCAAAAAGTGTGTGTGGGGGGGGGGGGGTAAACATGTGGTTTGTCCTCCTCACCCACTTTTTTCGTCCCCGAATAAATAGTGTAGCCTACAGTATGATTTGATAGCTTATGATAGCTGATTCAATGACTCCAACTCGAAAAGGATGTAATGATGATCTTTGCTCAAAAAAATTGTGGTCAGATACTATGCCTGGGATCGCACGTCCACAGAGCCTGAAGCAGAACCCTTGAAGCGGGCTACTCGCTCGCAGTACTTTTAATCACATTATGTCTGTAAAACATTACATTGTTACGATCATATTATTTTTGTTGTTGCACTGGTTCTCATGATATTCAATACACCTCTGACATACATTGTGGAAAATCAGTGCACGAAATTTCAGTTTAATACATCTTGTATTTCTTGAGTTATTCATCGGAAAACGAGTCGTTCATTTTGTTCAATAGTGCAGCATCGGCTGGTCTCGCACTTTAATATTCTTTCAGCAGAGGGCGCGCCACATAAATAGTGGTCTCGATAATTATCTACCACCAAACTCGTTTGGGGGGCAACAACTCCAGAAATACAAGATGTATTAAATAGAATTTTCGAGTAGTGATTTGTCATTATGTTTAACATTAGGAGATCTAATTTCATAAGAAACCGTCAAACAATGAAGCTGTATTGACCGTAACAATACAGTGTTTTAAGCGCGACAAATGCAATCCGAATGAAAGTCAATGTGGATTTTTCGCGTGTAAAACATTACATTGTTACGATCATATTATTTTTGTTGTTGCACTGGTTCTCATGATATTCAATACACCTCTGACATACATTGTGGAAAATCAGTGCACGAAATTTCAGTTTAATACATCTTGTATTTCTTGAGTTATTCATCGGAAAACGAGTCGTTCATTTTGTTCAATAGTGCAGCATCGGCTGGTCTCGCACTTTAATATTCTTTCAGCAGAGGGCGCGCCACATAAATAGTGGTCTCGATAATTATCTACCACCAAACTCGTTTGGGGGGCAACAACTCCAGAAATACAAGATTGTATTAAATAGAATTTTCGAGTAGTGATTTGTCATTATGTTTAACATTAGGAGATTTTATTTCATAAGAAACCGTCAAACAATGAAGCTGTATTGACCGTAACAATACAGTGTTTTAAGCGCGACAAATGCAATCCGAATGAAAGTCAATGTGGATTTTTCGCGTGTAAAACATTACATTGTTACGATCATATTATTTTTGTTGTTGCACTGGTTCTCATGATATTCAATACACCTCTGACATACATTGTGGAAAATCAGTGCACGAAATTTCAGTTTGATACATCTTGTATTTCTTGAATTATTCATCGGAAAACGAGTCGTTAATTTTTTTCAATAGTGCAGCATCGGCTGGTGGCATTATAACTTGGTCGTGATTTTGCCGCCGTAGGCAAATTTATTTTGGTGAGGGCGACCTCTGCCGTTTGGTTTGTTGTTGACACGTGGATGAACACTGGTAACCAGTAGACCTACATGGAAATTTACGCTGTGGATATGCCACGCACGAGTACCTTCGATCAGTATACGTAATGCATGCACGTCCGCGCTCGAGCCAGATCTCGATCGCGAACTGTATGAAAAAAATTAATGGCAGCTAGCTGTAGGCCTATGTGTGTGTTTGGCTAATTAGGCCTAACTAGCAACAGCTGTTTTACTTGTTCCTTAAAATCCCTCCCTTCCACTTGTTCTTATAATGGTAAGTAGGCAGGAGAATATGCATTGCGCTAGAAATCTTTAATTTACTTTGTTACATAATTTAAAGGCCTCATCAGGCTCATTTATAAATGATAGTGGATATTTTGCCGGAGGTATGACGGCAAACTAACGTTTACTAAAGGTTTGCCGGCGGCAATCCATATCAACAGAGGGCGCTGTACTCTTTAAGATAGGGCTGAATTATAACATCTATTAAATTCCCACCAAAAGTCGTGTAGCACGTTTGGTGTAGTGGTTAAGCAAAAGCTCTAGTGAGCGGGATGACTTGGGTTCGATCCCGACCCCCGCCACATTTTAAAGGTTTTTTTTCCCATCCCCAAATAAATAAGAATATCCTTCTTTTATTATTTTAACATGTCTCAAACATTTTATTGCAGAGTATTACATTTTCTTTTTCAGATTTGTGGCTCTGGAGGATTTTTTTTAAAAGGGAAATAAAGTCCGAAATTATAAAATGGTCTGAATCCCATCTTGTGAATACGAGGTTACAACGATAATATTGGCATGGAGCCAGACTAAAATTTGTCACTGGAAAATGTTTAACTAAGTACAAAACAACAGTAACTGCGCATGTTCAGTGCATATCCGGCAAACTAACGTTTACTAAAGGTTTGCCATCTCCGGCAAAATATCCACTGCCTTTATAAATCTAAAAACTCGGGTTACAAAATATACATACATGTATGGCATAGGGGGGCTTACATACATATGCAGTCCGCTGAGTCCAGACCAGACGATGTACACTGGATGCCGGATGGTGAGTTAACTAATTTGCAAGGAATTATTGGTTGAAGTTATGTAGGCTATGCATGTGATGTAGCTTTTATTTGACCATGGAGGAAGGAACACAATCTAGCGTGTAGCATGTTATACATGTAAATACTTGTCATTTGAAATGATTGACTTCCTTGACAAGTCATGATTCTATTTCAGTTTCACTTCACTTCATAGACAGTTCATCATGATCATTCATAATCATGATAATTATGTCATCTGTCATCATCATCACAGACATGGTCACTCATGCATCATGTACATGTACATGTTTAATGGTTTAATAATTTAAATGTACTGTCGACCATATGTCAACTCGCATAATAATTGGTTTTTACGAACGTTTCTGTTGTGTGCATGAATCAGGTCGTACTTTACTTGTCATGGGTGCTTGCACTTTATTTAGGCCTATGTTTTGAATGAACTGTTTCATCCAGATCATAAGTAAACCTTAGTACAGTGAAACGCCGCTATAACGAACACCACTATAACGAACATTTGGTTGTAACGAACATCCCCACAGGCTCCCAAAATAGTGAATTCTATTATAATGCACAATCACTATAACGAACAACCACTACAGTCGTTTTCCTAGTTCCGGATAGCAGACATCATTCAGGCTGCTTTCGGCTCAACTACTCCACGAATTCAAGTGACATTGATTAAAAAGTGTACCTTGAGTGATGGAGAGACTACAAAATAATCTTCCAAATTTAAGCTCTTTTTATTTTGATTTTATGACGTCAAAAGTACCGATGTCACTTTTCCTACATGTAGTTCCGGATCGGTTCAATCAGTTCCGAATCGATCAAAACTGCTTCACCCGAAAAACAAATTATGCGAGAAAATCTATTTTTTTTTCAGCCAGAACCAACTGAATCAAGCATATTTTCTGATAAAGTATTATTTCTTTTTCCAAAAATAGTTCATTCAAGAGAATTCCAGCAAATTTTAAAAAGAGAAAAAACGTAAATGATTTTGAAACTTTTGTCTGCAGCGCAACGGCTCAAACTCACACACGGACCAAAAATCTTTGACCCAGCACAGAATACGTCACACAAAATCAATTAACGCGCGTGCAGTTGGGTTGTAGTTGACTCTACTTACTATTAAAGGGAATATACAACATTTGCAAACATCGGAAAATAAAACTACCAAGTTTTTGCGAAATACCTTAATAGGATGTTGGTAAATGACAGTCTAAAGCATCCTGTAAAATTATGGCACCTGGTATACTGTCATTTTCAAGAAAAGTGGTATTTTTGTATCAATTTCCAACGCTGATCGGCCGATCAGCGTTGGAAACAACTGGCTTTTTTTCAAATACTGGCCCCAATTGACCATTGCACTTGTCTGCAATCGATTACAAACCTATGAACGGGTACGAGCCAGCTAGACTGGTTCCCTGACCTTACAATTCCCCAATGTATGTAAACTGCTCTGTTTCTTCTTATATGGAGTCAGGGAACCAGACTACAGGAAAATGATCGTTTTTCTTGGTTTTTATAGCATTTTCGAACCCAAAACCTCCAAAAAGTCAGTGTAACTATATTTGCTTTATAATTCCAACCCCCCAATTCCATCCATTTCTGAAAATTACAGCAAAAGCAAATGATGTATATTCCCTTTAAGATAGCTAATTAAAAGCTGGCAGTCATTTTGAACCGAAGGTGGTGGCCATTTTTTATTTAAGTACTTGGCAGCCATCTTGGAAAAAAATAAAAAGGCCCTCAGCCTGCTATTTTTGAAAAAAAAACCTGGATGTTCAATTGTTTTTTTGGTTTTTTTACTTGGCAATACTAGTACTATTTTTATACTAGTGCAAGAAATCGCCACTCTATGAGACAGCGCAAAATTATCGAGTTATTTCCTTTGCCCCAGTAGAATTGTAAATTACCCTCTTATATAATGTGTGTTGTAGTACTTAAGAAAATATCATGTGTTTGCATTTATGCACAGGTCTAAGTATACCAAGTTGAAGTGATGAGCTGCATAGATGTGGTTGCTGGATTCAGGAGAGAGAGTATCATATGCAGAAAATGACAATAACAACAATTCTACAGATCTGATGGACATTCTGAGGATTGTTCCCCTGCGGTCGCCGTAACGTCTACATAAGGTGTCTTCATGGCAACCCATCAGCTGAATGGTGTTGGGGATAAGACTGCCCTTCAAGGTCAGACCCAAGTGGACCAGGTCTCGGGGGCCGAGTACAGTATCGAGAATGACACGAGACACCGCCCCCACCCGCTGGAAAAGCAGGGATCCCGCACGCGCTTTCACTCGGGGAACGGATCGGCCGCTAAGTCCTCGTCGTCATCGCTAGCCCTTTCGCTATCCTCGTCGGATATTCGGCAGGTCAACGGCGGGAAGGATGATGCGACGAGCTCCCCTCGCCACGTATCGCACACCCCACCGACGTCGCCCACGTTGAACCACTCTGGCTCAAATCTCAAAACTGCGAATTTTGCCTCGGCACCGTCCAGGGCTGGTGATTTTAAGACCCTCCGTTCGCGACTGCGTCCCAGGAAGAGCCGATCGCAGCAGGACAACCTCTTGACCTTCAGGGCGATGGCCTATCTTGTGCTGTGGTACTTCTTCAGCTTCTGCACGCTGTTTCTGAACAAATACATACTGAGCATGCTCGGTGGGGAGCCTGGGATGCTGGGTAAGTTATGGGGCAACTCGGAGACTTAGAAACTTTCCTGTTTCTGTGAAAACAGTCTTGGTAAGGGACGCCTTGCAGTGCTGATGGAAACAAGCAGTGTTTCAGTATTTTCTTTGACTAAAGTGTGTATTCCAAATCTGAAGGTTTTGGGTTGCACAAGCATTTGTAAACTAATCCGGCGACAGTCGTTTTTCTGAGGTGGCACCAAGAGTCGCACTCAGGTAGTTCGCATGCCCTCTGGGCTCCGGCCGCCAATAGAGCTAGCAAAATGCGTGTGTGAATCTTACATGAAGGTTTATCTTACATGAAGGCCCTGGTTGTCAATTTATTTTCAAAAATTGAAACCTTAACCCTAACTCCTTATAGCCTTTTTGCTAGGATGTAGCCTCAATCCTGCAAAATCCTCCAATTGGCCTTATGGAAAAATAGCATATAGCCTCAATCCTGTAAATTCCTCCATTATTTCTTGAATATGTTCCGTGGAGGGGTGACCATTGCCTGAATCCTGCAAAATCCTGTGGCAGTGACTGTCAATATGTTGAGGCTTGGCCAGTGTCATCCTGGTGCAGTACGGAGGATTTCAAGCATAATCCAGGCCTATATTTATGCACGGCTGAGTAAAAAGAATTCAAGGTCCGGCCTAAGACCTAAACAAAGTGCATCCTATGAAATCAGTAACGCACTTTTGCCATGTTACCTCAATCCTCCAAATTCCTCCACTTTGGCAAAGAGGATTTTGAAGGATTCAGGGCGGTTAGGGTTAAAGCTTCAACCTTAAAACACCCATGAAATGGAACAGTGAGCTAACCAGGTTGGATTGATTTGTGAAAGTAACTTTAGGAATTGATAAATCTACATGTTGTTGGATTTAAAGCTTTTGCATACATTTGCCTGTTTTCAGTTTCATCAGGAGGCTGTGGCTATTAAGCAAAGGGGTAAGGTTAAATGTAGTCTTTTTCCATTGCTTTCAAAGGTTCAACCCAGATGCTAGTGACCACCGTCTGCGGCTTCTGTAAGATGTACATTCCTTGCTGCCTCTACCGCCACAAGAGCCAAGACGAGAGGCCAAAAGGGTTCCTATGGAACATGATCGGCCTTGGCATTATGAGGTGGGTCTGCGTCAGGGATGTAGTCGAGTCCATCATAAGTCCTGCATTCCCAATTCAACTCACAAGCTGTATTCAAATGAACCTTGACAAAGTCATTCCATATTGTTATTGTTCATTCACACCTTATTTGTGACTGAACTTGTGAATGGACTTGTGATTTGCTCTTGACAGAACTTGTTATGGACTTGGTGGGGGGGGGGGGGGGCTGAGGGGTCGTAGACACTAGACCGTCGTTATCACTAGAATGCCATGGTCCAGTAGTTACGGTGTTTGACTCATGTACAAACATGTGACAAAGGTGCGTCGGTTCGAACCGTACTGGGAACATGGTGTTTGTGTCCTTGAGTAAGACACTTAACTACAATTGCCTCTCTCCACCCAGGAGTACAAATGGGTACCTGTGAGGGTCGAGGACCGATTGAGCGCTGATATCGGCTGCCGCGTGGTCCAATGGCCTGATGAATGGGGTAATAATTGCAAAGTGCTTTGAGATCGTTGATACAATGGAAAGCGCTATATAAGCACAATTATTATTAGACGTTTCAAGCTTTAGAACTTGTTTCATTCACTGTACAAGGCATTGCGTTGAGAGGATCTCACGTAACGAAGGCCTGATGATCAGCTGATGAGTACGCACGGAGTTGAACTCACACATTACAGCTCAGACATCGACACGCTTTCATCGTTACGCTCAATGATCGTCCAGGCCATGCACCAGTGTGCATGACATACCTGGACCGGCGCGTTTGCGTCGTGTCAATGCTTGTGCCACTCATTCAACGCTTTGCCAAATCAAAATCGAGCTACTAATGGAAATTTCCAAATATACGTCTTTAGACGCATCCTTAAAATGAATGCCTTTTATTGTTTTTCTTTTTCAAAAGGACAGCATGCCAGAAAGAATAAGTTCACAGGGAGTTTTAATAGTGGCATTACTATCTTTAAACCAAGCAATTACTTCGTCAGTTACATTTTGGAAAGCTGCAAATGATATACTCTACCTTTAACAAATTTGAAGGAAGAAAATTGATTTTGATTCATCCAAATTGCCACTAATACATGTACTTCATTGATTGGCTATAGAGTAAGGCAGACACTGCCCTTTATTGTTCTTGCACATGGCCAATAGAATAAACAAGTTCAAACCCCCCCCCCCCCCTTTTCTGCAGATTTCTGACTGTTCTTTTAGGCCTGGTCAGCCTGAAGCACATTGCTGTCTCCTTCACGGAGACCATCAAGAGCTCGGCCCCGCTCTTCACCGTGATCATCGCGTGGCTGATGCTGAGGGAGCGCACGGGGCTGTGGGTCAACCTTTCGCTGTTACCCGTCATGGGCGGCCTGGCGTTGACCAGCTGCTACGAGCTGAGCTTCACGGCGATTGGCTTCTCTGCTGCCATAGCAACAAATTTAGTGGACTGGTGAGTGATACATTAACGATCTGCCTCAGAACAAACCTTTTGCCTCCCAGATCATTCAAAATCCACTACTAGGTTTTGAAATGATGTTTACGATTAAGGATGGTAGCATTTTAAATCCATTACTGTTGCTCCCTGTACAACCCAAAACTATCCAAGTACTGTTCGGTATAGGGTGCCGATCATATGACATCATAGCACCATGTGACTGTCCGGTTTCCCTGTGATTGGCCACCATTGCAGTAGGCAAGCGTTTGGCTAGTAATCACGTCGTGCATTGTAATTTAGACAATAGGGCTTATTTCACGTAAACTAACTGTTAATTCTTTATCAAAAGGCGTAATGGTCACCACCTGTGCCTTGTGCGGTTGACAATCGTGCCGCCCAGCACTGGGTGTTGGCTCTGTGTTTTTCTCACAGTTTTTTTGCCTTCCAACACAGCTTAGAAGGCTTGCCTACTGCCAAATGCGTGCGGCGCTACACATGTACAATCTTTGCCTACTAAAATGGTGACGCTGACTTTCCGGTAACTGGATGTAGGCCAGATCAGAGCAAGCCCTATATTGGATTCATCAGGGAATACAATGTAATACAATGTAATACAATGTAATACAATGTAATACAATGTAATACAATGTAATACAATGTAATACAATGTAGTACAATGTAGTACAGGTGCTTTTCAGTGCGGTTTGATGCCCTTTTGAAAGTTTAAATGCAATAATTGTGCCATATCAGATGTAAACCAAATCCGAACCAAAACCGATCTGAATTCCCCAAATCTGAACCCTACCCGACCCAAATTCAAGCAAAACCCGACCCGAAGCCGCCCGAAACAGAAAAGACACAGGAAAAACCCCGAGTATCTGGCCTGGGCAACTGTGTCTGCTTTTTGTGCCTGAACTTACCCGCCTCGCGTGCAAATTGTCATCTCTCAGTAACTGAATCATATGGTTTAGCATGGTGAAGACTCGTAACGTTACCTACCAGTACTGCCTACACGATGGACCACAAACCACATGCACACTCGCGCGGTGGGTTAACATTGGTCGTACCAGGCACAATAAATCTGTTTTAATTGCACTGCATGAATTTCCAAACTGTTTGGGGTCTTTTTTCGGTTTATTTGGGTTTTTGACAAGATGGCCTAACTGACGCAAAACCGAAGCCGACCCAACCCGACTGAAATTATGGACAAATCGACCTGACCTGACAGTTTCGGTCGGGTTTGCACAAAATTACTGCCGATTTTCCCTTATTATATTCCCCTTCTGCAGTTTTATCCATGGGTTTTTAAATTCCTTCTCTTTTTCGCCAACAGTCTACAAAACGTGTTCTCCAAAAAGCTTTTAAGTGGCAGTTCCCATAGATACAGGTAAGACCAAGTCAGGAATATGCAGAAGACACTGGGGAAAACAAATTGGCTATTTATTCCACGTTAATTCCAAAACGCTGATTGTCAAGGCTTTCCGCTGCTTTTTGTGAACAAAATAACATCCTGTTGATGATACAAAGCCTGTTGGTGGTGCACTGATGAAAAAAAATTTAAAAAAATTACATACTTATGTTCCTTGTTGTTTGATTATACCATAGAGCTATATTAAATCACTAGAGCGCTGACTCATGTACAAAGTGATGCCTGCTGGGCGCATCCATGTTTGTGCACAAGCCTATGGAAAACTCGAAATTTTGTACGGCTTTTGTACGGCTATTTGCATATCTGCGTTTGTATTTTATACAGGTACGTTACCGAAGCCGATACGCCCAAACCGAAACGCACAATCAGCAAATAAGCCTTTCATTTTGCTCTGCGCAAACTGCACAACACGTGTGCGTTTCTGCTGCAGATGTTTTTCGCCGTGACATTTTTTTTGAACCGTCGTGACGCACTTAAGTTGTTTACATTGCATTTAGAGTACACTTTTAAAATTCAATCCATCTAATTTCATTATGTTCTACAAACACGAACATGAATTCAACATGTCTGCACCAAAAACAGCTTCAAAACGTCTCCGCGCGCAAGAAGGAGGAGTTAGCGCTCTAGTAATTTAATATAGCTCTGTGGATTATACTCATTATTTGTGTAATTCATGAATTGATCACTGTAGGAACACAGAACTAAAACACACCAACTCAAAGTGTGTGGAATTATAGAAATGGCACGATTACTGCCTTTGCCAAGTTCTGTTGGAAACCATTTGAACATGTTGGAGATACATATGTACATCTACAATACAAGTTCTCTCTTCCAATCCAATTTAGTCCCCCAGAGCTTCAGTTCTACACCAGCACAGCTGCAGTGGTGCTTCTGGTACCCTCCTGGTTATTTTTAGTGAGTACCTAGAATTGCAAGTTATCCATGATATAAGGTGAAATAAAAAAACAAACATGTTTAGCTTTCTGCCTTTTTGAAAAAAAGGAAGTGGGAGGCCCTTTTTTTCCCCTCCAAAATGGCCGCCCGACCGGGCTATTTTCAAGATGGCCGCCAGTTATTTTTTTTAAATGGCCGCCATTGGACTCAGGCAATGACAAAACAGCTTTATATGGGCTAGATGCAACAGATAAAGAGGCCGAAATGATGTCACTATTAAACATGTACAATGTATAATAAAACCAGAGCAGGTTTTGACCTTTGACAGAATAACAACGAATGCTCAGTCATCCGTGGCCACAGACACACAATCGAGGTATCATCGGAAAGAGGACACATTGTTGTTTCGCATGATCTTTAACTTATTTGAAAATATTTATTAGATTTTTTATAATTGACATTTACATGTGGGCTTCCTTTTTTTGGGACACACCCTGTACAGCTCAAAATCAACATGTAAAATTAACTTTAAAGTCACTACGCAATTTTCTTATATTAACCCTAACCGCCCTGAATCCTCCAAAATCCTTTTTGCAAATTGGAGGAATTTGCAGGATTGAGGTTACATGGCAAAAGTGCGTTGCTGATTTCGGAGTACGCACTGCGTCAAGGTCTTGGGCCGGACCTTGTGTTGTTTATGGTCAGCCGTGCATAAATTTAGTCCTTGATTATACTTGACATCCTCCGCACTGCTCCAGGATGTCACTGCCTCTGCCTCAGCCTATTGACAGTCACAGCCGGAGGATTTTGCAGGATTCAGGCAGTGGTCACCCCTCCATGGACCATATTCAAGAAATAACGGAGAAATTTGCAGGATTGAGGCTATATGCTATTTTTCCATGAGGCCAAATTGGAGGATTTTGCAGGATTGAGGCTACATCCTAGCAAAAAGGCCTAGGGAGTTAGGGTTAAAGTCACTTCACAATTTTCTTATATTAAACGTTGAGATTGACTTTTTTTGTTGTATTTTTTTTGACACAAATAGGACAACCCTTTTAAGAATGGTCTTCCTGATCAAGTATTGGTCATGGCTCTAGTCCTCGATGGCGTCTTTTTCCACCTTCAAAGTATAACAGCGTACGCCCTCATGGGTCGTATATCACCGGTAACGCATAGGTGAGTCAGAAATCCATGCACTAAAAGGTAATACACAACATATGCAAACATAAAAAAATAGAACTACCAAATTATTATGAAATACCGTACCTGACTGTAAGTGAATAATAATCTCAAGCATCCTGTGAAATCATGGCACCTGGTGTGCTGTCATTTTCAAGAGAATTGGATTTTTTTTTTATCAATTTGCAATGATGGTCGGCCGATCATCGTTGGAAACATATGACTTTTTTCAAATACTGCCCCCAATTTTCTAAATTTAGTTTATAGTGCTCTTTTTTTGTTGTAATCGGTTACACATCTGTGAACAGGTGCAAGCCAGCTAGTCTGGTTCCCTGACCTGACAATTCCCTGACGTCTATAAAGTGCTCTGTTTTGTCTGTTAAATGTGCACAAACCAGTAGCGTCTTCGCAGAAGTGGTATCCGTGAAGCATCATATGCCAATGCGTACAAATGTCTCTCCCATGGGCTCCCAGCACAAACGAGAGAGGGCGCTTTTGTTACCGTGGACGGTCTACATAATGGAGTGATTTTTCTTAATTATTTTTTTTTTTCTTTTTCTGACAGCGTTGCGAACACATTCAAGAGGGCGCTTCTCATCTGGCTTTCTATCCTGGTTTTCCATAACCCAGTCACGGTGCTCAGCGGCGTGGGCACCATCATCGTCGTTCTCGGCGTCTTCCTGTACAACCGCGCTCGTGAGTACGAGCAGAACCGGCAAGCGCAGGATGGTCCCGGTGAGGGCAGCATTCCTCTCTCCTCTCCAGTCTGATGTTGTGCGCAGCCTTATGGGGGCGCTATTTTCCCCATTAGTTTTTTATTAATAGTCGTTTGGTGTGTTTTATGACTGGAAACCTGATCTCATGTCATGAGAAGAGGCAATGCTCTCAGAGCCTCTGGTTGCTTTGCACCTTAACCCTAACTGCCCTGAGTCCTTCAAAATCCTCTTCGCCAAAGTGGAGGAATTGGAGGACTGAGGTTACATGGCAAAAGTGTGTTACTGATTTGGTAGGATGCACTTTGTCAAAGTCTTGGGCCGGACCTTGTGTTGTTTTTGCTCAGCCATGCATAAATATAGGCCTGGATTATGCTTGAAATCCTCCGTACTGCTCCAGGATGTCACCGGCCAAGCCTCAACATATTGAAAGTCACTGCCGCAGGATTTTGCAGGATTCAGGCAGTGGTCACCTCTCCACGGACCATATTCTAAAAATAATGGAGGAATTTGCAGGATTGAGGCTATATGCTATTTTTCCATGAGGTCAATTCGAGGATTTTGCAGGATTGAGGCTACATCCTAGCAAAAAGGCCTAGGGAGTTAGGGTCAATGGTGTCACTTTTCTCCTAGTCTGATTGGTTTTCTTCAAAAGTATGCACACCGTCTGGAATGCATTACCTATTGTGTGCACAAGTGGAAACCCCAAGGTCAGAGGTGAAAAAGACAAAGACACGCCAGACATTATCAGACTCTTTATCTGAGAGACAGGTATTGGGGCTGCGTTGTAGGCTGAGTTCAGCAATCTGCACACCACCAGTGCAAATTGGTCGGGACACTGGCATCTGAAAACTCTTGTTTCAAGTCCAGTAAACTGGAAACTAGACTTGACATCTATTAAGAGGCTGTGTCTGACACAAACAATTTGTTCAACTGAATCACAAAGGGAAACTGACTTGGGGGAATTATAAAAATGTTTTGAAAAGTTGACCAAAGAAATTGACTGGAGCGGGGCTTGAACCTGCAACCCTCGGATTACCGTTCCGGTGCTCTACCAACTGAGCTATCTAGCTCTATGTTGACGGTTCCCCAATTCATCGGTATCCTTGTTCAAGGGGTGTTAGTCAGAAAGCTTCAAACCTGAATATGCCATGCAGCTAGGGTTCATACCAAAAGTCATGATGCAGACCTGGGGAAAAATCATACGCATAAAAGTATACAGGGTGAGTAAAAAAAAAACCAAACCCAAATGTTGGGACCATTGTTTTAGTGAAGTTCTGCATGTAGCACTTTCAAAATTAATGATGTAAAAGCCCAATTCATAAGCTTTCTTTTTAGTACAAGAATCATTCAAATCATTCATGTACTTTTCGAGTTACGGAATTTTAAACACAACCACCGTTTTAAAGTTCTGTCCACGGATCACAAAAAAAGGTGTGCGTTCTTTCAGCAAAAGGAAAAACAATTCACACACATCCCTATGTGATTTGTTTTTGGTTTGCTGCAAGAACACTAAACTTTGTTGTGATCGGTGGACAGAACTTGAAAAACGGTGGTTGTGTTTAAAACTCTGTAACTTGAAAAGTACATGAGTGATTTGAATGATTCTTGTACTAAAAGAAAGCTTATGAATTGGGCTTTCATATCCTAGATTTTGAAAGTGCTACATGCAGAACTTCACTAAAACAATAGTCCCGACATTTGGGTTTCGTTGTTTTTTTTCTCACCCTGTATATGCCATGCAGCCAGGGTTTATACCAAGAGTCACGATGCAGACCTGGGAAAAATCATACGCATAAAAGTATACTGCGCGCGGCGCTATACAATCTTGCCTACTACAATGGCAACACTGACTTTTCGGTACCCGGATGTAGGCCAGGTCATAGACAACCTTTACTGTTTTGTTTCATTTCTGTTTTCGTTCACTTTTGTTCTTGATTACATGTACCTTTAATTTACTTTATTATGTAAGCCCAAAGTCAACAATGAAATGCTGACAGTCTTTCTCCGGAAAGCGAATGGCTTTTCAGATTTTAATTACATACATAGCACTGCAAGAATCAAATGTTACCGAGATATATATATTTGATATATTCAGAGTTTCTTGAAATCATGGTGCTTTTATGTTTTCTTCTACCTCTCATTTTGATCTGGATTCTTAGTATCACCCAATTCTCGTATAATCGTTTAGTAAGGCAGATAGGGGAGATATTTGGAGAATGGTGCATTTGACAAGCAGGGGTGGCATGGGTGGCTTGTGCGTAAAGCGCTCGCCTCTCACCAAGGTGACCACGGTTCGAATCCTGGCCGCGGATCACATGTGAGTAGAGTTGTGTGTTGGTTCTCTCCTGTGCCACGAGGGTTTTTCTCCGGGCCCTCCGGTTTTCCTCCCTCCGGAAAAATCAAACACTTTCGATCTCAGGCTGGGCTCCGTGGTCATATATGGGTCGATGTGGCCGGCAGCCATAGGCGCCGTTACGTGCCAGCGGCCCGACCACGTTGTAGCCGCGTCCTTCGCAATTCAGCATACCAGCTGCGAGTAATGATGATTAGCCTCCCAAATTATTATTATAATTATTTATTACATTTGGCACACAGTCCCAGTATGTCATAAGAAAGATTGTCATTTGAAAAAAGAAAGGTAGAATAACAAGCAATTTTTTTAATTTTCAAAATGGCTGCCATTGCTTGTTATTCAACCTATACAGGGCGAGTCAAAAAAACGAAACCCAAATGTCGAAACCATTGTTTAAGTGAAGTTCTGCATTTAGCACTTTCAAAATCTAAGATATGAAAGCCCAATTCATAAGCTTTCTTTTAGTACAAGAATCATTCATATCACTCATGTACTTTCCAAGTTACGGGAGTGTTAAACACAACCGCCGTTTTAAGGTTCTGTCCTTGGATCACAAAAAAGTTTAGTGTTCTTTCACCAAAACGAAAACAAATCACATAAGTATGTGTGTGTGAATTGTTTTCGTTTTGCTGAAAGATTGACCTTTTGTGATCCGTGGACAGAACTTTAAAACGGTGGTTGTGTTTAAAACTCCGTAACTTGAAAAATACATGAGTGATTTAAATGATTTTGCACTAAAAGAAAGCTTATGAATTGGGCTTTCATATCTTAGATTTTGGAAGTGCTACATGCAGAACTTCACTAAAACAATGGTCCCGACATTTGGGTTTCGCTTTTTTTATTCGCCCTGTACTTTGTTCAAAGGACAAATCTGTGATGGCCCTATAGTCAAATATCTTTCTCGTGACAAACTCTGCTTGTGTGCCAAATGACACACTTTTGGAAAAGACACATTTCCATCACCTATCTGCCGTACTATTGTCAGTATTCTATCACTTAACTGTCTGCTCAGAACGAATTAACATTTTCAACTCAGGGAAAAGACCGTTAGACGAAATGATGTCAAAGTTTGTTTTTCGCATGTTTTTCATATGGGAGCCTGGTGTGGATGAGGCCTCGTTGATTCCACCATACCACGTTTCACCTCAGAGCTTTTTCATTTTGCATTCTTGGACTAATATTTCAATCGCACAGCACATACCGTGGAGGAAAACGAAACAAAACGAACAACTCTGAAATGTTGCTATTTTAAAAAAAGGAAGGATCAGTCACTTTTTGTGCATTTTCCATTCTTGGAGTAACATTTTATACGCACAGCGCTTACAGTGGTGGAATAAAAAAAATTGGAAATATTGCTATTTTAAAACGGCAAGGTTCAGTCAATTTTTGAGCAGTCTTGATTTATTTTTAAAAAAAATAAAACAAGTTGAAATGTCATGGTGGTGCTCATTTGCATGCATATTCTAAGTATTTTAAAATATTGTTCTGAATTTTGTGTTTAGCTTTTGTCATTGACACTGAATGTTTTCTTCTGGGAAAAAAATGTCGCAACCTGACGCCACTTTTTCTTCATGTATCATCTCAATGGAGGTCACTAATTGCAAAAATGATGATAAGACATGAATCTGGGACTGAGAAACATTTCCGATTTTGTTAGGAAATACTTAGACAATTTTCGCGACTCTCCGTAGACTTTGTACACAACCGCTGAAGTGGCGTCAGGTTGCAATATTTTCCTCTTCTTTTGTTCTAAGTTAAAATTACAGTGTATTTGTTTTTGCTTTATAAATGATGTTAGCTATAAGGAACAGTTTCGTGTTTTTTTTGGTTTTTTTTCAGAGTAATTTTTGGCATATCACCAGCTTATCACATCCTCCGGTTGCATTTCTGATGATTTATTTTTGTTGTTGATATTAATTTTGTGAGAACAGAACATAAGGCAGATTCGGGTACAAGGCAGCTCTAGGGCGTGTATATGTTGACAGGACATAAATTTAAACTAGTGGAGGGATATAAAATCGGCTTTTTCAAAATTCGGTTGAAATTCACTGTTCAGTTTTGATTTTGGAAACCGGATATTTGAACCAATCTTAAAAAATGTAAGCCTTCCATTTTTTTCGGTGACACATGCTAAAGAAACCAACTGAAACATCCCCCATTTTGCTCCATGGTCTCGGATTGTAACTGCATTCACTTGCTAATGGTCTTCTTGGTATATGAATCAGGGGTGTGAAATCTCATCTTTATAGCTGATTTCAGCTTTATTTATTTGGATTCCAGTTTTTTTCCCCTCATTTGATGTGTATAAATTATGGATGATTTCCAAATTTCAGCTTTTTTTCAGCTCCTTTTATCAGTGGTCACTCACACCCTTGATGAAAAGCCTGCCCATTCTATTTATCAGAGAGTTCCCAACACTTCAACATTACAGCTCTGGAGTGTTTTTGTAAAGGCCCATTGGTCACTGAATCCTGAAAACTATACCCAGTCATTGGGCATTTCATGTGGCACCTCACTTGTCTGTTTTGGTTGCGTGACCGCGAGCTGGATGGGAACTTCTGCTGAAATCGGATAACCAGTATTCGGTTTGAAATAAATTAGGATAACCGTATTTTGAAATCTCCGATTCCTCCCACCACTAAGTTATACCCAGTGTGAGCACAGATTTTGCATACTTTCAAATTTGCAAGTAAACTTGGAACATTCCTCCTCCGGTGTTTTGGATTTAACATCATCACTCT